ATCTATTCACTGGAGTATATTTGGGTTGCTTCCACCTTTGGCTATTGTGAATAACGCTGTTACGAACATGGCTGTACACATATCTGTTCAATGTTCTAGTTCCTGCTTTCACTTCTTTCGGGTATAGAATCAGAAGTTGCAATTGTTGGATCATATGGTATTTCAATATTTTAATTTTTTTAAGAATAGTCATACTGTTTTCCATAGTGGCTACCCCATTTTACATTCCCACCAGCAGTGCACAGGGTTCCAGTTTCTTCACATCCTCACCAACACTTATTTTCTGTTTTTGTTCTTTGTGGTTTTTTTTTATAATAGCCATTTTAATAGGTTTGGTTTTAATAGACTTGACTTTTAAATTCTTCCAGACCTTCTTAAGAATAAATAGTTAATAAATCATATGTATGCATCATATACTTAACCAGCTGAACTATTAATATTTATGTTCAAATTAAGAGACAGTCATAAAGCCAAAAAGTTAAAAACAACTGTAATACCCATTAACTGATGAATGGATAAATAAAATGTAGTAGAGGGGTGCCTGGGTGGCTCCATCGGTTAAGTGTCCAACTCTTGATTTTGGCTCAGGTCTTACTCTCAGGGTCTTGAGATCAAGCCCCAAGCTAGGCGTGAAGCCTGTTTGGGATTTTCTTCTCCTCTCCTTCTGGCCTCCCCCTGCCCCAACTACCCCACTGTGTGCATGCTTAGTCTTGTGTGCTTGTGTTCTCTCTCGCGTGCGTGCGTGCACAAAAAGAAACAATAAAATGTATATACAGGCAGTGCAATATTATTTGGCAATAAAAATCATGTACTGATACATGCTAAAACATAGATAGACTTTGAAAGCATGGTAAGTGAAATAAACCAGACACAAAGACCACGTAAATAAGATTCCATATATAAGATGTCCAGAATTGGAGCACTGGCTGGCTTAATTGGGAGAGCATAGGATGCAACTCTTAATCTTGGGGTCATGATCATGGGGTCCCATGTTGGGTGTAGAAATTACTTAAAAATGAATAAACTTTAAAAAATAAAATGTCCAGAGTAGGTAAATGTCTTGAGACAGAAAGTAAATCAGTGGTTGTCAGAAGCTGGGAGCAGGGTGGGAGGAGTGGAGAGTGCTGATAAGGATATGGAGTTTGAATGCAGAAAGATATACATTTAAAAAAGGAGAGATGAACTAAGTCTTGTTTTCATCTCTTGTTTGGAGTATGTCCAATTAAAGTTTACATCAGTTTTTGAAATTATAGGGAAAAGAAGTTTTTAGAATATGGTTAGGGGAAAAACAATTTAGAGAATAGTATAGGGGCGCCTGGGAGGCTGTTAGTTAAGTGTCAAACTTCAGCTCAGGCCAAGAGATCAGGATCCTGGGATCAAGCCCTGCATCAGGTTCCCCATGAAGCGGGGAGCCTTTTTCTCCCTTTCACCTGCCCCACCATCCCCTGCTTGTGCTCTCTCTCTCAAATAAATAAATGAAATATTTAGAAAAGTGTAATATACAGGCCCCCCCACCCCCGCCATCGCAGGTTTTCTGTGACTTTAACTTTTAGGAACACAACATATATAATCTAGTTGTTTTTAAAAAATTATAATTTCAGGGGCGCCTGGGGGGGCTCAGTCATTAAGTGTCTGCCTTTGGCTCAGGTCATGATCCCAGGCTTCTGGGATTAAGCCCTGCATTGGGTTCCCTGCTCCACAGGAAGCCTGCTTCTCCTTTTCTCACTCCCCCTGATTGTGTTCCCACTCCCGCTGTCTCTCTGTCAAATAAATAAACTCCTTAAAAAAAAGTTATACTTTCATATGGATTTGTTTTATGGCTTATTCATAAAATAATTATGTACAGAATTTCAAATGGAATTTATTAATCCTAGAAGCAGTTAGAATCCAGGTTTAATTTGGTAGTGCTTGAAAATTCATATTCCCCCCCTTGCACCACCATGCCTTCTTAACTTTCATTGTCCAAATGCTTCCGTATGCTAGAAGTTCCCATTTGGCTGAAGAAGAAAAGTCTTATCCAGTTGCTAGCTTGAATAAGCATTAAACTAATGTCATATGAATGTAGTCACATTGTTTCCTTGCTATAATTCTAAAACAATGTGTGGGTTACAGTGCTTAGATCAGGTGATTTTTGCCACAGAACAAAATCTGTGGTGAGGGGATATTCTGTTTTGCCAGAACAAAATCTAGGTGAGGGGATATTCTATTATGTTTTATTTAGGTTTTGAAAATATGTCATTGATAGATCATCAGCAGTAACCTGTAGTATTATACTAACAAATACGGTTTTAGTGTCACAAAAGAGATCTGGGAAGAGATGCATTTCTGTTACTTTGCAAACCCGAAGCTTTGAATTTGTTTTGCCATGAGCCTTCTGAGCAAAATAAACAATTATTTTTCAGACTTAACTAGGATAAATGGACAAGGCCTGTACTTTTCTATTTTAGGACCTGCCTGAGTGTGCAGTACATTTCTACCAGTCTTTAGCTTGTGAAGTCAGTAAGAAGCCACCGTCACCAAAGAAGATTTTAAAAAACTGTAACCCACCCAATTATACTCCACCAGACAGGTGTCTTGCTTTTGAATGTTAGGTATTGCATAGTCAAAAATAGAAGGAAACTTGGGTTTGGGGAAGGAAAATTTTGTTTAAGAGCTAAGTGCCATAGAGTTTCTATCTTTTGTTAGGAACTTGAGCCTTATATGAATTATTTAACTTCACTATTTTCAACTGTTTTCCTGCTTTAGAAGTGCATTTGTAATGTTGAAGGTACGATAACTGAACTTTTTGAATACCTTGTTCAGAAGATAATGTTACTTTTAGTTACTTAATTTGTGAGAAATTCCTTTTACTACTTAGGTGGGAGCATTTTCTGGCTTCTTGCTCATGGTTGTACTGCGGGAGACCACGTTTGTGGTTCCCTGGGAGCAGCATCAAAGAATCCAATAGCAGCTGTATCAACAGGGATGTGCTTGTACATTATTGTGATTTAAAAATGTTGAGGGGTGGGCATTTTCCCCACAATACTGACTTTGTTGTATGGAATAGTAAGGGATTTGGCACAGTTACTTCAAAAAGAAACCAAGGGTTTTTGCACTGAAAAATTGGAAAAATTCTAATTCTTTATTTATTTTGTAGAAGAGTTCTGTCTCATGCAATGGTGTTTTCAGTTCATTTACATACTTTATCATTAAAAATATAGCATTTAAAAAATACAGCATTTACTCATTTTCTTTTTTTTCATGGTTGCAAACAATCTTCCAAATTCTAACAGCCTCTCTCATACATTTTGGCCAGAAGATAATAGATAAAACCCATTCTTCATCAGCTATAGGCCTGAACCATTTCTCAGCAGCTGACTTGAAATCTCTTTCCCTCATTTTCTCCTCCAACACTTTGGTGACTATATAGCAAAATAACAAAATGTTTCTTGCGTGGTTGTTATTTTCTTGTCCTTATGAATTTGTAGTAGCTTTGTTAAGAAAACTCTCAAGTTTGATCACTACATTTGTGTTGAATATGATCCCAAGTGCTTACATTTTCATTTAATTCCTTCCTCTTAAGAGGGCAGCGCTTTAGTAAACTTATACTACTTGGGGTGCCCGGGTAGCTCAGTCAGTTAAGCATTTGCCTTCAGCTCAGGTCATGATCCCGAGGTCCTGGGATTGAGTCCCGTATTGGGATCCCTGCTCACTGGGGAGTCTGCTTCTCTTTCTCCCTCTGCCTGCTGTTCCCCTTGCTTATGTTCTCTCTCTGTCAAATAAATAAAATCTTTTTAAAAATTGATACATTTAAACTAATATTTTTGGAATCCTATCAGTAGGGGAGATTTATATGGTCCTATTGAGAGGATGTGGAATGGGAGTAAATTATTTTTCTCAAAACCACCTACACACACAAAAATTTGATAAAATCTTGGTTCCCTGATGATAGTAGTATACTATCTTTTTGGCTGCTTTCAAGAATTTTAGAAATTACCTGGTTGAATTGTGGATTTTTATTTGTATAGATTTTTTTAATGTATTGAATATTTAAATTATGAAGAGTGAAATTTCAGCTTTTGAGAATTCTGAGGGAATTAGTTATTTTAAGTGGCTATTTCATGGCTAAAAATCAATTTATAACATTTGAAAGTTTTTTAAAAAATGTATTCTTTTAAATATACAAACAAAATTTATTTTGTGTTTAATTTTCTCTTTAAATGTAGTAGACTGAGCATAACTGCTTGATGATTTACTTGATACTGTTGTATTGTTTTGCTTTAATATATAAGGCAGTGATGCCATTAGAGCTTTTTTGTTCCTCTAACATTAATTGGACGCTATAAGCCAGGTACTCCTCTAGGTGTTATATTTGTATAACTTATGTGCTCAGTATTCCCATATTGCAGTACTTTGAATTCTTGGCAGAATTTTATGATTTCTCCTCCTTGTCACTATTTAGCATAATATTAGGTATATAAATTCTAGAACCTGACTGCTGAAGTTTGAATCTTGGCTCTAGTACTTGATAAATGGTCATAAGCTGTGTAACTCCTCTTTGCCTCACCTTCTGCATATGTAAACTGGGGCCAGTGATGATTGTGGTTACTTCATGGGGTTATTGTGAGAATTAGAAAAACGCAGGCATAAGAGTTTGGAACTGCCTGGTACAAAGATAGTGCTATATAAACTGTTAGTCATGACTACTACCACAAATAGTGCTATTACTGTGACTTTTCTTCAGTGCTGTCAGCTTGCTTGCCCTGTTTTCTCTTTTTAAATTTCTTTAATCTTAGAAAACATAACTAAGCTTATTAGAACTAAATGCAAAACAAGAGTAAATTGCATGAAACCTGAGATTCCCTTTCAAGCAGATAAAGTGCCTTGTATGCCTTGGCATTATGTTTTGGCTGCTGAGAACCTTCTTTTAGTAGACACAACCTTTAACAGGCGATGCTTATAAGTGAATCTTGAATAAGAAAAAATAAGTAAAATTGATCTATTAAGGACTTGTTTTTTAGGGAAAAAGATCTTGAAGAAGCTCTGGAAGCAGGAGGTTGTGATCTTGAAACTTTGAGAAATATAATTCAAGGGAGACCACTGCCTGCTGATCTGAGGGCCAAAGTTTGGAAGGTAACTGGAAACTAAAACAAGATGTAATCACTTAAGAATAACATTTGAGAATTTTTGTGTTCACTTGTTTAAGTTGCAGAAAACTATGAGCATGCTGCATCTCAGTAATTTATTGAACAGAACAGCTTGCTGAAATGTGTATTTCTGTCATGTTTGGTTATTTAATAATTTAGGTTTTGGAAGGCAATGTTTTTCTTTTGTAGTTATTAGAAATGATGTTTATGAAGATTGTTAAATGAAATGGGACAATGCAGCCAATGAGTAAAATAGGATTTATAATTGCAGCTGGAATTACCTTAGCTATGTTAAAGACAAGATGGGGAGGGTATATAGGTCTTTCTGGGTGTTAGAATTACAGGATATTTTACTTTGCTTTATTTTCCTCTTCAGCTGTTCTCCAATGCATGTGTATTACCATTTTTTTTTAATTTAAATTAAGATTTTGTTGATTGCAAAAGAAATATCCATCTTTGTTAAAACATATAAGCATAGGATAAGATGAAAATGATCTGCTACCACCTATAGGTAAAACACATAATTATGTCTTGGTATATATCTTTTTATTTTTTATTCTCTGCACATATATATGTAACAGAAATGGAATTATAACTGTATATAAAATTCTGAATGTTTTATTATAGAAATTTAAAACACAAAAGTAGAGACTTGTCTAATGAACCCCCATGACCTGTCACTTAGCTTTGTTAACATTTGGCCGGTCTTGTTTGATTAGTATCTCCATCTTTTCCTCCCCACTCCACCTGCTGGATTATTTTAAAGCAAATCCTTGGTAGCACACTGAAGCACTTTACTATGAAAGTCTAGAAGATAAAGACTCTTTTAAAATAAACATAATACCATTAAACTGAAAAAAACCCAGTGAATCCTTAATGTGTCCTCACATATCTGAAGGAACGGGGGCTCTTTCTGGGGTATCTTTTATAAGGACACTAATTCTATTATGAGGGCTCCACCCTCATGACCTAATCACCTCCCTAAGGCCTCACTTCTGTATAACATCATATTGGGGATTAGGTTTCAACAATGAATTTTGAGGGCAGGGGACACAAACATTCAATCTATAGCATTGGTGATGTTTGCTTGAAATAAATGTTATTCATTGGATTGATATGAAGTAGTAAAATTTAATGTACACACTTAAAATAAGTGTGTTCATTGTGGTATGGCTTAAGGGATCAAGGATCAGCATTTGGTGGAGCATAAATATATTACTTTGTAATCTTAGAAGTATGCATTATTATTTCTAAATTCAGGACTTTCCATTATTACAGCATTTTTTCCAAGAATGGAAAATGGCATATGAAGCTAGTTGCTTTTATCTTTCTTCCAGATTGCTCTAAATGTTGCAGGAAAAGGTGATAGTTTGGCATCATGGGATGGTATTTTAGACTTGCCAGAACAGAATGCTATTCACAAAGATTGTCTTGAGTTTATTGGTAAGTTTAATAATTGTTTTCAAACAGTGAAAATTTTGAAAATACTATTTTGAGGTAGAGGAGTAACTCCTTTAGAATCATCTTGTTATAATTTGGGTTATGTTGTATTTGTGAAGGACTGCTAAATAGTTTTAGAATGTCTTTTTTGAAATTCTCATGAAATAATGTCTAGTATTTTTAAGAAAGAGAGTCCAATTTCCAGGGTTTTTTAAAAATAGTTCTTCAGGTACCTTTACAGTTTTAAAATTGTTTTTGTGTGTGTGTGAAGATCTGTATAATTGTCTATAGTCTCCACGTTAAAGGGGTCTGCATTCCAAAAGTTTATCTATACATCATAGGTAATGATCTGCTGTGAAAAAACTATTGTAAGTCATGGGTGAAAGGTTTCTAATCACTCCACAAGGTCTTTTTCATGAGTAAATGAATTTAGTTTATATTTTTAAATTTATCTACAGTTTTTGGTGTCTTTCTGTTACTCTTTTCATCACATTTTAGTTAAGCTTTGATTAGATAGGCTTTTGTGTACTAACCACAACAGAAACATTGCTGGTGTGTGCAAAGGAAAGGGAATTTGGTGGTAGAGAATGGATGACCTTCCATGACAAAGTTATAGAGGCAGCTTCCGGTTATGGGGTAGATGCTAATCTGTTGCTTAGAAAAAACCTTTTTGCTTTCCTGGAATATGGGTTAAGCCTATCTTTCTTATCTCTCTACTTCAGATTATCCATTCTTATGTTCAACATATACATAGGTCAAGTATTATTAAGTTGAGTTAGTAAATACTGAATAGCTAGTAAATACTGGATAAATATGAGGAAACATGTACTTTCATGTAGTTTTATTTTGTCCTTGTCACACGCTAGATATACTAAGATAGTATCGTATGTTTGTTAACAAGTGTTATGTGCAATAATGGAGTCTCTGACACGACCTTGGTAACTTATTTTTGACACTTATTTTCCAGAACAGCTTTCAGTGCCAGAAGAGAAGGCAACAGAATTACTTTTGGATATTGAATCTGTAATTACCTTTTACTGTAAATCACGTAACATTAAATACAGCACGTCTCTTAGCTGGATACATCTGCTGAAGCCATTGGTGCATCTTCAACTGCCTCGCAGTGATTTATACAACTGCTTTTATGCTATCATGAATAAGTACATTCCCAGGTAAAATGTGATTTAGTTATCCTAGTTTTAAAAATGAGTAAAAGTCTAGTTTGCTTTGAATTAAAGTTGTAAGATTTACTTTGGTGGTGAAGAGGTTCAAATAATTTTTAGGGTTGTTTGGAGTCTTAATGGTAATTTGACTTTATTTTTGTGGTTGTAGACATTTTTAAAATTTATGAATTTTAAGAATTTATGCTTGTAGAGTTTATGCCAATTTTTTGGTAATATCCCTATTTTAATTTCTTTCCTTATAAAATAAAAATAACATTATAATGGCAACATGGAAAGTAAAATTTTTGGAGTGCTTCCTTAAGTGAGGTGCTGGCATTACAGCTTGAATGTAATCTTAGATAAGCAGGTATTAAACAAGTGATTAAAAGTATGCTGAGTGTTAGGAAGATGAAATATAGAATGCTATGGGAATTTTTTTTTCCAGTGGGAGGAGCAGAGGGAGAGGGAGAGAGAGAATCTCCACACTGGGCGTGGAGCCTGACATAGGGCTTGATCTCAACAACCCTGAGATCATGACAGGAGTCGAAATCAAGAGTTGGACAATTCAACGACCTAACCGCCACCCAGGTGCCTCTAGATTGCTATGGGAATATCTAATGGGAGTGACCTAATTTGCCCTGGAGGTCAGAGATGGCCTTCTTGTGCAAGTGACATTTAGGCTGTAGTTGTTTAGATGGTTGTAGTAGTGATGGTGTGGGGGGCAGGTAGGGAGGGTGGGGAGGGAATACAGGGGCTGCACTCACGAGGCCAGAAAGAATTTTTGTAGTTCCTAGTGCTATGGCTCTGGTAGTCAGGAATTCACAGCCAAAAGGAACTTTTGATCAGTGGTTTGGCTGCACAGTGAACCTTGAATGCATATTGGAATCATTGAAGGGGCTCTGAAAAATCCTGATGCCTGTTTTTTGTACCTGATTATCAAATCTCTGAGGAGGGTACCCAGGCATCATTGTTTTTTCAGCGCTTCTCAACTGACTGCAAAATGTAACCAAAGTAGAGATCTACTATTCTGGAGCTTGGTAGTTAAATGACTACTATTTTTTATTGTTTTCTGTGATACGCATTATACTAAATGCAAGTGCTTTTTGTGTTTTCTCATTTAAACAATGGCCACTAAAGGGTGGGTATCCTGATTTACAACTACAAAAACTGAGGCAAAGAAAGAGAGATTAAACACCTACACAGGATTACACTTCTGGTATATGTTTGAGTCAAGATTTGAACCTAAGTTTGGATGGACTCCTGTGCTTTAACTAACACAGTTATTCACCCTGATTGCTTGTTAGAATCAACTGAAGAATTTTTTCTTTAATAGTTTAATATATTATATACATATAAAATGCATCTGTTTAGTGTATACAATACATTGGTTTTTAGTGTAGTCACAGAGTTGTGCCACCCTAACCACAATCATTTTTAGAACATTTTCATCACTCCAGGAAGGAACCCCATTCCTGTTAGTAGTCAGCTTTCCAATTTCTCCCAACACTCTTAGCCGTAGGCAACCACAAATCTTTCTGTGGATTTATACCATATTTTACCACATGTACCACATTTTATTTAGTTATTTTATTTATTTACATACTTTATTTACAACAGTGAATGGACATTTGGATTATTTTTACTTTTTGGCTCTTATGAATATGCTGCTGTGAATATTTGTGTACAGATTTTTGTGTGGACACATAATTCATTTCTCTAGGGTATGTACTGAGAAGTGGAATTGCTGAATTATATGGTGACTATATGTTTTACCTTTTGAGGAATTGCCAGCCTTTTCCACAACTGTATCATTTTACGTTCCTATCAGTAGTGAATGAAGATCCCAGTTTTTCCTCATTCCTGTCAACATTTAAAAAAAAAATTATTGTACCTAAACTAATGAGTGTGAATTGGTATCTCTTTATGGTTTTGCTTTGCATTGCCCTGATAGTCAATGATGTTAAGCACCTTTCATGCGCTTATTGGCAGTTTGTATATCTTCTTTGGAGAAATGTCTGTTTAGCCAAAGAACTGTGAAAACATGTGAGTCCTTGAAGTTTCAACTGTGAACAGACGAAATAGAGCCTAGGCATGTTTTTTTAAAAACTCCCCAGGTGTTCTAATGTACAGCAGGGTAGACAACCTCTGTGCTACCTTGAAGCCATAGTGCTTCATGTAAGTAAAATAGTCCCAGAGATGCCAAGAGACAGGCCTACTACAGTCATGGTAGAGCTGAGCCTGGAATTCATATTTGTGAGTCATGCTAAGTCTCTCAATTGCTTATATTTTAGCTTATATTTTACCACCATTCAGTGTAACAAAGCTAGTGATATCAAGGGACATGATGTTCCAACTTTTTCTCTAGAGGATATTGGTGGTGATAGGTAGTAATATTGTGGGAGATGGCTTTACATTGAACCGTGTAATACACTGTCTTAGGTTCCTCCAGTTACTTTCTGTGAGTTTCAGCTGTAATATAGCACTCCAGCTAGGGTCAGCGTTAATGCCCCTGGATAGAACACAGCCCCACAAAATGCTGCTAGAAGAACTCCACTGTAACATATCTTCTTATTACAGATTCAGTATAACTTGTGTAGAATCCTGTCAAGCACAGTGCCTTGCAATAATAGTACACAGCTATTAAATGAATAGATGCTGTTGCAATGGCTGACTCCCTGAGAGGTCCTGCTAGAGGCACAAACTGGCAGTTGTTTCTACATTTTTATGTCCTTACACAACTTACTCTTTCTGTGTTTTGCCTTAGCAGTCAGTTGCCTTGCATTTATAGAATGGGGAGAGTATTCAGACAAAGGAGGGGGTAATCTTGCCAGTTTGAATTCAGTTCTGTCTCTGGGCATCTGAATTAATAACCTAGGGCTTTCTCTACAAAACTTCCCTGTCGTTTACAGTATCAAAAAGTGGTAGATAGAAGTTCATTCCAAATCCTTGCATTCATCTCAGATCTTGGTTTTATTGAAATTATTTTTCAATATTCCCACTTAAATAGCATTTGACAGCATTCTTTATCGGAATGCTTTTATGTCAAAATTGTGACCTTCATTTCATTAGCTTTTTCACATGAAGGCTTTTACTTTATTTCAATTTCTTTACAATTCGGGTTTTTTTAGAGACTGTACCCATTACCAAAATGCCACTTGCTGAGATACCAAATTATGTATAGTGAAGAGTAGTATGGCATGGTAGTTTAACGCAGTTTCTGTGTAGAGGTCTTAGCTGACTTCTTAACTGTGTGACCTTGGGTAAGCTCCTTATCCACAACTAAGCCTCAGTTTTCTCATCTGTAAAATGAGGGAAAAATTTGTAACTATAATAGGGTTGCTTTGTAAGGATAAAATCAGATAACATTGTAGAGTGCCTGTTACAGTGTCTGGCACATGGTATTTTCTCAATAAATACTTTTATTGAGATGGCCTGTAGTTTGAGTTGCTTACATTTTTATTGATTCATTAGACACAAGGGAAGAAGAAAAGAAGTAGTACACTTGCTCCGTAAAGTTTTTCGTACCTCTTGGAGTTCATTCTGATCACTAGTACCCAGGCCACTTCAACAACTTCTAATGCTCTGGTCCAGTATTTTGTTCATCTGTGGCCATTTCCCCCTTTTGCCTTTGTTAAAGGTCATCCGTACATTGAGTATGTTAACTGTGGAGCTAACCTGAAGCCTTTCTAGGAGTTTCCTCTTACTTGGTAGGGAAGAAGAGGGCTGGACTAATTTGGAACTCTATAGGTATCCTTTTGGGATCCAGAACTTATCAGAATAACCTAAATGGTCCTGCTGTTTTCAGTGGTCCCTCCAGTTCTTCCATTTGAGTGCTACCTGGAGAGAGTCTCCCTGGAGTTGGCTGTAGACCTGCTGTCTCTACAAACTTTCTGTCAAGTCAAGTATATTAGGTGTTCTGAACCTGATTGTATCAGATAGGCTTGTTATGAATGCTGTGGTGGTCAGGTGTTTTGGGGGTGAGGGGAGGAGGTGGGTATTGCAGGAGGACTGGTTACTAATATAACCATTTCTGACCCATTAATCTAAACATCTTGCTTCTCTTCTCTTTTAGGGATTGTTCTCTGAAGGGAAGACCATTTCATCTTTTCCGATTACTCATCCAGTACCATGAGCCTGAACTTTGTTCTTTTCTTGATACAAAGAAAATTACTCCAGACTCCTATGCACTCAACTGGGTAATAAAGTGAAAGTAGGAACACTTAATGAAAAATAGCTTTCTATTAAACTATAGTTAGGTTTTTTCTTTTCCCAAGGGGGAGAAAGAAAAGTACTAAATTATAGACCTTTACTACTTAAACCAAAGGAGTAAAATTTTTGGCACTTCAAAAATTTCTTTTTTAGCTCTTAACTGTGTTCAGAGTGTTTAAAATGAAGTTTAACCTTTTGTTGTTTTATATACATCTCACATATATTACATATGTATGTGCTATATACAGTGTGAGTAGATGAATATAATACGTGCAAATATATGCATGTGATATATGTAAATATGTGATATGTATCAGTTTAAAACTTAGTGTGATTAAATTTTTGATGCTGTGTATAAGAATTGATATCTAATCATAAGGAAAATGTCTTAAGATTGCCAAATGATCAGTATAAAAATATAAAGTACGTCTCAGCTCTGTTATTCTTTATTTTATTTTCAGTGGGAAGTTTTTTTATTCTAGGTCAGTGGTTTTCAGACCTTTTGGTGTCAGGACCTCTTATACTCAATATCTATTGAGGATCCATAGTTTATATGGATTATGTTGGTTAGAAATTAAAACTAAGAAATTTAAAATATTAATTCATTTAGAAATAGTGGTAAATCTATTACATGTTAGCATAAATGGCCTGTTTTTCTAATGCTAAATAACTGTATTTTCCAAAAGAAAATTAGTGAGAATAGTGGCATTGTTTTATATTTTTGTGAATCTTAGTATCTGGCTAGATCACAGGTAGGTAGATTCTCATACCTGCTTCTTTATTCATTCTGTGATGATACTACAGTTCGTGTAGCCTCTGGAAAAGTATTGCTATTTGTGAGAGAATGAGTATGAAAAAGGCAATTAAAGTTTCTGATTATTATGAAAATAGTTTTGACCTCATGGACTCCCCTGTAAATACTCTTGGGGACTTAGACTATGCTTTGTGAAACTCTTTTCTAGATTAACTTGATCATTTTTCTAAAACAGTGATTGGGTGCTAGAAGAATGAATATTAAAAAATTAAACATATTCCTTGATCATGTCTTAACCTAACTTTTCTTCAGAAAGGATTTCTTTCTGCCACTTACTGTGTGATTTAAGACACTTAGCCTCTGAGCCTCAATTTCTTTATCTGTAAAATGGGAATAATAATAATACCTGTCTCAGAGGATGATAGGATAAGTAAATCAAGAAATGGTACTTAGAGAATTCTAATTGGTTTCAATCTAGCATATTCAATCTCAGACTACAGCAGCCTACCCTTTAGTTCTTAGCCAGTCTTGTCGCTTTGAGTTAAAATAATAAAATACCTGTAAAATTATGATTTCTCTGAGATACATGTATTGCCTTTCAATGTACTTATTTGTGTTGAAGTAAAAAACGATTTCTTTTGAGCATTCTGGTATCTGTAACAGAGGTCTCTCCTGTCACTTCTGCCATTTCTGTTGTCAGATCTCTGAATTAGTCCTCAGTGCTGGTAGCAGATTTTTAACGAAGTACTAAAACAGCTGTTCTGTCTTCAGTGTGTGCACCAAATAGTTTGTTTTTGCTACAAGTATCATGTCTATGGAATGGAGTCTTTTTTTTTTTTTTAATTGTGAGGTGAAACTGTCAAAACCAATTCCTAAATCTCATTGAGAACCTGTAACTGTGAGCAGTGCAGTGATAGCTGTAGTTTGCCTACATGAGTTTAACAGTGATCATATATTGTGATTCTATTTGTATTTATATCTTTGGTATTTGTAATAGTAATCTTATTTATAATAGTAATTTTTAAAAGAACAAAAAACATTAGTATCATTGTGTACTTTGAAAACTTTGTTGTCAAGTATAATGGCAGTTAGCTGGCTGTGGAGTATCAGGTCACTTTTCTAGTGCAAATACCACCACTTGCTACCTCTGTGAGCTTGGGAAGGTTATTTAATACCAGTCTATTTCCTCACCTATAAACTGGGGATAAAAATATCAACTTTGAAGACCTGTTATGAGACTATTTAAAATAAGTGATAGTGGGGCGCCTGGGTGGCTCAGTGGGTTAAGCCGCTGCCTTCGGCTCAGGTCATGATCTCAGGGTCCTGGGATCGAGTCCCGCGTCGGGCTCTCTGCTCAGCAGGGAGCCTGCTTCCCTTCCTCTCTCTCTGCCTGCCTCTCTGCCTACTTGTGATCTCTCTCTGTCAAATAAATAAATAAAATCTTTAAAAAAAAAAAAAAAAAAAATAAAAAAAAATAAAATAAAATAAGTGATAGCTAATAAAGGATATGTGACAGTAGGTTACTCTAGGTTAATTATCTCTCTCTTCCCAACAATGGTAGAAGAAAGGTAGCAGTATTCCTTTTTTTTTTTTTTTTAAAGAAGTAGAAGTGGAAGTTTTAGAGGTTAAGTAATGTGCCTTAATTCACACAGCTAGTAAGTGGCTTCATTGTGCCTTGAATCCAGATATTCTGTCTTTGCATTATATACAGTAAAATTAAGCTACACATTATGTATCAGGTGCAGATAATTTGACATAATGTTACTTACACATATGCTTTCATACTTTGAAAAGAACAGGTCATTTCCAGTGGTTTATGTCTCATTTCATTTCCTGATTACAGCTTGGAAGCCTTTTTGCATGTTACTGTTCCATTGAAGTCACTCAGGCAATATGGGATGGATATCTACAACAAGCAGATCCATTTTTTATTTATTTCTTAATGTTAATAATCCTTGTTAATGCAAAGTAAGTATCCTGTTGCTTAGATTTTTCTCCTTTGTATTCTCAAGGTGCTCTGTTAATATTTAACTCAAATTCATTTGTTTTTCTTTTACAGAGAAGTTATTTTAGCACAGGAGTCAGACAGCAAAGAAGAAGTTATCCGTAAGTATCACTTACTGTAGAAAAAATATTTCAAGTCACTTTATTTTCTAAAACTCAGGTTCATCTTTAAAAGATTAGTCTACAGAATTCTGAGGTTTCATTCAACTCATACACACTGTAGGTGCAAACCTTAAGGACTATTTTCCTTCAATTTTGCCATCCTCTTTCATTTCTTCCATGTTTTTTCACTCTTTCAGTTCCCTTTCTTAAACTGGTATTTTGGTTTCATTATTCATTATCAGATGCCCTCCTCTCTTTCCCTTCTTCCCCTCTTTCTTTCTTAATTTATCTTTGAGTACTCAGATTTCACAATTATTTCCATTGTGGAAATTTGATTCTTTTTGGTTCTCCCCATTCTAGCACTCACACAGATTAAGTTACTTCCTTTCTATGTTGCCGCCACTTTGTATATTTGTATTACAGTGTTTATCTTCCTACATTATAACGATTTATTATCACACAAGACAGAGTTCCTTAGTCAGGAACTACATTTTTTATTTCCAGAGGCTGTGGCCCTTAGTATATGTTAAATAACAATACTGCCATCCAGGCTAATGAATTTGATTTGATTACTTGAACCTATCTTTCATTAACAGCAGAATTGCATTAACAGTTCAGCTCTTTTGGGAACTCTGGTTCTCCTTAAACAGTTTTATTTTTATTTATTATTTTTTAAAAATATTTATTTATTTATTTATTTGACAGAGAGAGATCACAAGCAGACAGAGAGGCAGGCAGAGAGAGAGGAGGAAGCAGGCTCCCTGCAGAGCAGAGAGCCCGATGCGGGCCTCGATCCCAGGACCCTGAGATCATGACCCGAGCCGAAGGCAGCGGCTTAACCCACTGAGCCACCCAGGCGCCCCTCCTTAAACAGTTTTAAAGGCATCACTGTTAAGATTCCATTTATGTAGTTTTTATTATGTTGAAAATACTCTAGCTTTGATATGTAAATAATGTTCATGATTGTATTAATCACAATGTTTTCAATATTCTCATATCTATAATCCTTTTTCAGAGTTCTTGGAGAACACTCCATCCAGTTTGAATCTAGAAGATACAGAAGATCTTTTCTCTCTGGCTCAGTATTATTGCAGTAAAACACCAGCTTCTTTTAGAAAGGTAGAAAACGAAATTACCAGCTTCAGTATTTCATATTTAGTACATTGTTTTATTGTTTGTGTTGTGTCCACTTCAGTTAAAATCCTCTAGCTTGTCACTCTTTTCTTTCTTTTTATGTATTGCAGTTTTGTGTGATTTTTCACTGTAAATACTCTTCCTACTAGAGGAACAGACAAATTTAGAAAGATAGTATAACGATATGCTAGCAATTCTTTAATTTTTTCTTTGATTATTACTTTTGATCATGAGAAAATTGAGGTAGTTCTTGTTAGTGCTTTCTTGACTTTAAAAATTTCCAAAATCTGATGGAGGATATATATTTATGCCTCCTTTATCTGGAGTTCAGCTTTGTGCAGTTTTAATGATGCAGAGCTGTCTCGTGAACAAAAGGGGTAACTTAGCTGCATAGAGACTTAGAACCTTTCTCAAGTGCTTTAAAGTGAAGGGACACCCAGATTAGAAACATGCTGGTATGAGCTCCTAGAAAATAAAACTCCAAGAAGCAAAAGCCAATAGTGGAGGAGGCACGGAAGTACCGTTTATAAAGTAAATGGGTTTGTTTGTGACTTCAGGTGGCTATGAAAGCATTATTGTCTTTTATTTATTTTTTTAAGGCATTCCATGAATGATCACTAGTTGCTGGTTATATCACTGAAACATCAAGATGAGGTTAAATTATGTTCAGTGTAATATGTTTCAGAAAGCAGACAAGAAAAATCTTTTAAAAACATTTCCCCCGAAACTAATTAAAAAAGAAATTCATTTCTGGGGATAATTTCAGCTGTTTTAATAATTGCCTTATGTAGACCACCTCAGTTCCTAACAATGTCAGACAAGTCAGATGACAGGGTAGTGGTTAGGATGCTGGATGAAAAAGAAGTCTTATTCCTTTTCAGTCTTTTAAGAGGAACAGCTTTTATTCTTCAGACATAATAAATAATATGCATTCGCAATTGCTAATTAAATCAGGCTGTAGATCAGTGTATTATATAATTTTTGCCTTTTATTATGTTAAAGTATGGAAAGTCATAACCATTTTTTTTAATTCAGTGTTTACAGTTCATATTATAGAAACTAGCTGTGTAGAATGTTTTATTTTTTCATAGTCTTTTATTTTGTGTAAACTGTGACAGGGACTTTGTATATAGCCTTGTGGCCTTTGCGTCAATATTTGAGATGATATAATACTAAGTTTTAAAAGTCACATGACTCAGGAGTGTTAAACGTATTTATTTTACCTTTCATCATGGTTTATTAAGAATATTTTTTGGAAGAAAGATTAATTTTGTTTTTCTTTGTGATATTTTAAACATTTCTCTTCAAACAGGATAATCACCATCTATTTGGTAGTACTCTGTTGGGAATTAAGGATGATGATGCAGATCTCAGTCAGGCTCTTTGTCTGGCCATCTCCGTGTCAGAGATCCTTCAAGCAAATCAGCTTCAAGGGGTAAATAAAGAAAACCCACAGTTTGTCATAGGAATGCCCCTTTTAAATGCAAGGGACCAGCATTTTCACCCTGTTTGTGGCTTCCCGCAAAATTAATTTACTGAAACCATGTAGCTGTTTTGTTTTTTTGAATGATTAATGTGTTTAATCTGTGTGCTCATTTTAAAACTGCCGGCTTGTGTGTTATTTTAGTTGTCAGGATTCTGGGCAATTATTCTTTGGCAATTATAAATTGCCAAATCTTTTTTCATATTTTAACAAAGCAGCTGAGTACTGTATAAAGTACTTAAAAAAGTGAATTTAGCATATAATGGTTAAATTCTCATAATTATACAGCTAATTGAATTAGATGGTCTAATGCCATAGAGCATATAACAAAGGAAAATTGAGGATATACCATAATTTTCTGTCTGCTACTATCTTCAGAAAAATCTCATGAGCCAGTTTTTTCAGTGTATGTTCTTTATTACTAGTAGTGCAACAGTTAACCATGGGCTGTTGTAGTGTATTTTCGAGATGGAAGGAAGAAGAAGGGACATGGAAGGGCAGGCATTTTATAATAGATTTTTTTAAAAACAAATATTTACATGTTTTTCCTATTAGAACTAGTATTTTTGTTTTTAAAGGTTTTATTTATTTGAGAGAGAGAGTGAGTGAGTACGAGTGGGGAAGGGACAGAGGGAGAAGCAAGACTCCCTGCTGAGCAGGGAGCCTGATGTGGGGCCCAATTCCAGGACCCCAAGATCATGACCTGAGCCAAAGGCAGAGGCTTAACTGACTGAGCCATCCAGGCACCCCTTATTGGAACTAGTATTAAAAACAAATGAAAACCTATAATCCAGTTTAAAGATCCTCCTGTGAGTTTCTTCAGGTCATACTGGCATTGCAGCATTGCAGAACTTCCTCTCATCCCCAAGATGTTTAGTTCTTACATGAATTGAATTGCTGCCAACTTGTGGATTTATTTGCAGAAATAGTAATTGTATCTAGATCTTTGTTTATAACTGTGTAGTTTTTAAATATATATGTAACATGATACACATTAAAATTTTAAATTCTGATACAGTTTTATAGCTCATACTGACATTCTTGTGCTACATATTTTAAGACTTCCTAGTCAAGAACAGTATATATAAAGTTTTAACTGTTGAAAATGAATATGGTCGTTTAAGATCTTGAGGTTATTTTCTTGCATCGCTTCTAACTGGGTCCTAATTCTGTGAGATCTGTTTGTTTTTTTTCTTTCTTTAAAACCTGTTCCCTCTCCTTTGGCTAATTGTAACGTTATATTGTGTAAAATGTGACCCTCATGGCAAATTTCAGTATGTCAAATGTTGTTTTCCTCTTAGGAAGGAGTCCGGTTCTTTGTGGTGGATTGTCGTCCTGCAGAACAGTATAATGCTGGGCACTTATCAACTGCTTTCCACTTAGATTCAGATCTGGTTAGTATAAATGCTAGTTAAAGTTTTTTATGAAGTAAGAGAATAAATAGGGTTTTTTTTCCTTTAGTTCATGAATAAATATACATGTACCAGATTGGGGACATTTTCTTTTTGCTCAAAGAGGGGTCTCTGCCTTTATAACAAAAGTACTGTTTTCAGGTTTCCTTTTCACCAGCTCACTCTGGGTATGAGAAAGGGTAGATGGAAGCAGTTAACTGTGGCTTGCTATTGCCTACCATTGTTATGTCAGTAAATTCTGAACTTCTTACTGTGAGTCGTCTGATGTAGCACTTAGCATAGTGCCTTGCATCTAGTAAGTATTCTATAAATATAAGCTCTTACTATAATTAGGTTATTGTTTTAAAACTTTTTACTATAAGCCTTTTTCTCATTATGAATATTTATGCATATAATAAACTAATATTTAATGAGAGTAGTATCTGGCCTATCAGTGCTCACTTGTTAAAATTGCTTTTCAAGGGTCACTTTAATTAAAAGAGTAGACGAAATAAATATTAAATATTGTCGGAAATACTTAGAGTGGGATAGACATAACTTAAACCGTTCTTGGTTATAAGAGCCTCAGGGATGGAGAAGACCGAAGGAGGTTGTAACCCTTTTTGCTAACTATTTGATCTGCCCTTCTTCCCATCGCATCTGAAAAAGGTGACAATGAGGGGTTTAGGTGGTGTTGAAAGGAAACTTAATGGAAAATAGAGGTAGAACAATTCAGACAGTTTTGAGTGCTTTAAGTAAGGAAGGTGATCAAGCTTGGTTTGCATCCTGAAAGTGAACCCTGAGCTTTTCTCATCCTTGATTTGTCTAGGAGGAGTTAGATGGTCCTTTGTTTATGCTTCTTTAAAATTTTGCTCAAGTGATTCGTGAATATTTGATTTTTTTCTTCAAAAACTCGAAAGAATATCTCTAGAGCTAATTATTACTGGCTTGTTTAATCTTCCAGACCTCTTAATATGTATTTATATATTTCTTGTTTACATTTTTTTCATTTGATGTTTCACTTAACTGTTCACTTGCTTTTTCAGCAAACTATTTCTTAGAGATCTTTCCATTTAAGTACATTCTTTTAATATCCCCACATTTTAAAGTAAGCTCTATGCCCAGTGTGGAGCTCAAACTCACGACCGCACGATCAAGAGTTACACACAATGACTGAGCCAGACAGGCAATGACTGTATAGTGAACCACGGTACAAATATACCGTCATTTATTGCCCAGTTGATATGTATTTGGGTTATTTTCAGTTTTCTTGTAGTAAACAGTGCTGTAGTTAGATACTTATATATGTTTTGTGAACTTGTGCAAATATTTCTGTAAAATAGGCTTCCAAAAGTAGAACCATTGATTTGAAGTGTGTATGTAAAATATTAATGCTTTATCATCCTTTAAAGAGACTGAACCAGCTTGCACTTTACAGCTGTAGATGAGAATGTTCCATACTGTTGCATTATAGAACATTACCAATTATATTTTACTTTACAAGAATGACAGGTAAAAAACAGTGGTAATTGTAAGTGATGTTGAGCATCTTTTTGTAAGTATACGGTTTATTTGTATTTTGCTTCACAAATTGCTTTTCTTTGGTTTGTCCATTTTTCTGTTGGATTTTCACTGTGCTTTTTATATAGCCCTATTATAAGAGTTTTAACAGATTTTTGTGGTTATTGTTACGTTTGTTTCCTTGAGGAAAAGAGATTAATATTTTTCATCCTCTTGTCTCTAGAACTTAGAGTAGTGCTGATAAAAATGGTTTCTCCTGTTTCTATCTTCTAAGAAATACATCGTTCGCCATATAAGTGGAAACTAAAAAATATACCTTATTTAATGTATTGTTTTTAGTTATGGGCCCTTCCACTCAATGTTAAACTTTTCTTGTCATCATACCTAATGACACCATAGCTTGTTTAAGAAACAACAAAAACATTTTTTCTTAGAATACTTTCTTTGCATGTTTAATCTTTCTGTGAATCTTCAACTTTTGTTCTAGTGTATTATAGGTACCTTTATATACATTTCTTTTCTCTTATCCCAGCAGTTTTATTTATAAGAGCCTTTATTCCTTTGTTTCTATGGTAGCTATTTAAGTTTTTTTTTTTCCTGGAAGAATATTTCAAATTTGGAAATGTTTATCCAATACTGTTTTGCCACATTTTAGTTTTTAAAAAATTGTCTAGATGCTCCAGAATCCATCTGAGTTTGCACAGTCGGTAAAATCTTTGCTGGAAGCACAGAAGCAGTCCATCGAGTCCGGCTCCATTGCTGGTGGGGAGCACCTCTGTTTTATGGGCAGTGGTAGAGAGGAAGAAGACATGTATATGAACATGGTCCTGGCACACTTTTTACAGGTATGCTGACAAATTTTTTCAGTTTTGTTTGGTTATTGCTATCACCTTTAAGAAGTTCTTATGGATAATTTTATATGTTCTCTGCATTGTCAAATTTATACGTAGTTTTTCTTTACAGCTTACAGGTTTTGTGTCTTGCATGTCTTCTTACATGCTTGTGTGATTTATTTTTTGTGTTAAGATCTTGAATCATATGGAATTTATTTTCGTATAGTAAGTGAGGTAGGAAAAAAAAATCTTTTTTTTCCAGAAAGCTACCCAGTTGTGCTTATCAATTTGAAATACCACCTTTTTAATACACTGAATTCCTCAGTGCATCAGGATCTATTTCTGGATTATTCTGTTATGTTGCTCTTTATGTCTGTGTTCATTCTCTAGTATTTTTTACAGTAACTATGTATTTCATTTTAGTATCTTTACTCTGAAACAGAATATACATATATTTATTTATTATATATAGCCACCTTTCCTTTTTGTGTTCGAACGTTGTCTTCAGCACAGCTAATTTCTATTAGTGATTTTATGTAACCTGTTCCTCTATCTTCTCTACAAAGCTACACTCAGTGATGGCTCTTTGTAAAAATAGTTGTTTATTAGGTATTCTTTGATAGTTTATACATTAAAGTCTTCATTTTTTATGACCCTGAACTATGGAATCAGGAAGACCATAGGCTAGTTGCATTAGCCACTCAATTTGGATCCTGTTCTGTTCATGTTATATTTTACTGGGAATTTGGTTTGAGAAAATAAGTCTAAAAGAAAGAATCCTCGAAAGACAAAAATCAGCAAACGAACACGGTATTTGGGGGAAGGAGATGGTAAGATAATTTTATACCTTATTAATGGAGAGATCTTTAGAAATTTACACAAAAACAAAAATAGCAACTCAGACATTTTACTTACAAGTTTAATTAGCCTGTTTTAAAAATACTCTGGTATAAACTGTATATATTTTAAGACCTGTCACATGGCAAGAATTTGAAATACTGTGAACTTCTTTTTTATAACTCAAGTTCTTGATGTGGTTTTAGAAATTTTTTCCCTAACTTTTATTATGGAAGATTTCAAGCAAATTCAAAAGTAGGTAGAATTGAACCCTATACACTCTTTATACTGACATACATTATTACACTTTATTATTAAAAATCTAACTCTTGTTCATGTTTCCCTGATTTTCCCAGGACCCAAGACAAGATGTTGCACTTGGTTAACTTTTTTTTTTTTACAATTTTATTTATTTATTTGACAGCACAAGCAGGGGGAATGGCAGACAGAGGGAGAGGGAGAAGCAGGCTCCCCACTGAGCAGGAGGAGCCTGATATGGGTCTTAATCCCAGGACCCCCTCATGACCTGAGCTGAAGGCAGTTGCTTAACCAACTGAGCCACCCACGTGCCTCTTGGTTGACATCTTTTAAGTCTCTTAATTTATAGTTCCTCTTTCCTAATATTTTTGCTTGCTGGGTTGTTGGAAAAACCGGTTGCTTTATCTTACAGAGAGTTTCCCACATTCAGGTTTTGCTGCTGCATTCACATGGTGTTGTTTATCAGGTTCTGCCCTTGGTAATCCCTCTAAGTTGGTAATTAGATCTAGAGACGTGGTCGGGGACAGGAAGTCCTAGGTGGTCTGAGTTTTCCTCAGGAGGGACATACTGCCCAGATACCTCTCTTTCTCTCTCCCTCTTTTTTTTTTTTTTAATATTTTACTTATTCCAGAGAGAGAATACAAGCAGGGGGAGGAGCAGAGGGAGAGTGAGAAGCAGACTCCCTGCTGAGTAGGGAACCTGACGTGGGGCTCTATCCCAGGACCCTGGGATCATGACCCGAGCTGAAGGCAGGCGCTTAACTGATTGAGCTACCCAGGCGCCCCGATATCTCTCTTCTTTATGTCTTATTCTTTCTTTGCCATTGTTTATTAGATCCATTAATTTTTTTAAAAAGATTTTATTTGTTTATATGACAGACAGAAATCACAAGTAGGCAGAGAGGCAGGCAGAGAGAGAGGGGGGAGAAGCAGGCTCTCCGCTGAGCAGAAAGCCCAATGCAGGGCTCGATCCCAGGACCCTGGGATCATGACCCGAGCTGAAGGCAGAGGCTTTAACCCACTGAGCCACCCAGGTGCCCCTAGATCCATTAATTTTTATAGTAGTTTGTAAAATGGTAACATTCTATTATTTCTTATTCATAATTAGCTCTAATATTGTTTATTTCTTTTTTATGAAGGACACAACATATTTTAAAAGCTTTTAAAAACTTTGCTAATTATATCCAAAAATATAATTTAAGTGGTTTTGGTTTGACTCTATTATATTATTGGAACTAGAATACAAATAAAATCATAGTCTTGGTAGTAGCTATGAAGTTGTCCCCTTCTTTCCACCTTAACACCAGACCTTACAATATTTAAGTTAAATGTATGTTTATCTTTTTGTCAACTTCCAAAATGTCAAAGAAAAGTCCAGAAATCTGATGTATAACTTCATATTACATTTGTAAATGTTTATAGGACTATGAGAGGTTTTAATTAAATTACATTTTGGAATAATTTAAGTTTTGGTTTTTTGTTACAGAAAAACAAAGAATATGTGAGCATCGCCAGTGGAGGATTTATGGGTAAGGTTTTAATTTATTAATCGCTTTGCCTCCGCTTTTCAGAGGCAGTTCTATCACCAGACCTGATTTGTAGTGACCAAATTAATTAGTGGATAAACTCTCTCTTCAGTCATTCTATATTTTCAGAAAAGGCAAGGCAAGCAGGACATACAGATAACAGACAAACACGATAGACACTTGAAATGAGCAAATATTTAATGGAAGTTTATTTCAGTAGATATGTTGAATGAGCTTGTATTTGTAGAAAGTAATTTTATAAAGATGTGAGAAAAACTGTCTACATGATTTGTCTTCATGGAGAAGGTGGAATGGATAGGACTGGGAAACAAAGGTAGGAGGAATACTTTTCATACTCTCCTTTTTGTTATGTTTTTATTTCATTTTTGAGCTACTTGAAATTATTAGCTAAAAAAAATACAGAATGGAATGGAATAAAGGAAATAAACTGATATTTTCAAATCTTCAGACTAATATTTGGTAATCCAGGATAGTAAAATAATTGCCAAAATCTCTGCAGGCAGAGATTTGAGAATTTGTGAAGGATTAAGTCAGGGTAAAAGAGCCTGTCTTTTTTACAATTGATGTTATTTAAGGGTACAACCTTGTGACTAGTAGATAAATAAGTCCTGGAGTACTGTAAGTATAGTGAACATAGACAGTAATACTGTATTATAATAATCAAACTTGCCAAAAGACTAAATCTTAATTATTGCCACCATGAAAAAGAAAGGGTAATTATATGATGGGATAGAGGTGCTAACTATTGCTGAAATGGAAATCATATTATAATATATAAACCAAACGTGTTGTATACTTTGAATTTATACAGTGTTATAGGTCAAATATATTTCAGTTAAGAAATAAAGAGCCTTTAATAGTAAAATCAAATTAATATTTGTTGAATAGTAGAATCATGAGCTTGAATCATGAGAGCCTCATAAAGATTAACTTTTGACCTAATGTAATCTTGTGTTATAACTTGGAATATGATAGGTTAGGGTCTCTTTCCTTTGATCTTTGGTGATATTAGCAAGGATTATGATGCTTTCCTACATATCATGGCCTGATAACTAACATCCTCTGGGGTTTACACACAGAGTGATCTACAAAAGGGGTATTTTAATAAGTAGTATTAAACAAGTATTGGCCTTAGCCCCAGTGTGATTTATTAGGAATTTTGACAGCATGATACAGAACTTGGTTATTAAGCTTATTATCAAAAGTATCTGAAAAGCAGTCTTTTATTTTTCTTAAAAAATTTTTTTATTTATTTAAGAGAAAGAGAGAGCACATGAAAGCAGGATGAAGGGCGGAGGAAGCAGCAGATTTCTTCCCCACTGAGCAGGAAGCCTGATGGCCAGACTCCGTCCCAGGATCCTGAGGTCATGACCTGAGTCAGAGGCAGATGCTTATCACCTGAGCCACCAGCCTCCCTGAGATGCAGTCTTTTATAGTATAGTTTAGGTTTTAGAAGCTTTTTTCTAATTATGGATTATTTCTTTTTCAAGAATCTCTCCATAGCAATTAATGCGTTCTTTACTGGGGGAAAGATTAATTAGATGTCTATGATAGAACAAAAGCCACCATAGATTTTCTTTTAATCCTTCATGTCATAAAAATGTTGCTGAGATTATCTCATAATACTTAGAAGATTCTGTTCCAAAGAGGAAAACGTCAAGTCTGTATATAGTTACTGCCATCTTTAAGGTCAATTATGAGAAACTGTAGCTGTTCAGAGGGCTTTAGAAGGAGAGGAAGAAGGCTTTCTCTAGCTTAGAGTCCTTCATTCCTTTCCTGAGGTACAGAAAAATGTACCTGTAATTAAATCTTTGGATCCTCTTTCATTCAGCTATGACATGTTTGTTAAATTCTCTGGTAAAGAATCTTTCTAAAGGGGGGTTGGTATGTGAGCTGTTGTTTTTTTTTTTTCCTTCTTGTTTATCTTAAGCACTGCAGCAGCACCTGGCAGACATAAATGTGGATGGACCAGAAAATGGATATGGCCATTGGATTGCTAGTACCTCAGGCTCAAGGAGCAGTATCAATTCTTCTATTGATGTAAGTGTATATGTAGAATATGTCACCAGATTTGGGTGAATGGCCAGAAAAGGTGACTAAGTGTTAAACCCTCACCATAACAGAAATGGGGTCAGAATATTTCAAACACATAGAGTTTAGAGGAGTCGTTATTGCAGGGTTAATGTAAGGATGGAACAGGCCTGCACATCTAAACTAGCCAGAGTTCTGGAGATCCACCTGCTGAATTCAGATTTCTCCCTATCCAGATGTAGTATGTTATCATGTAGTGACAATTTTCTGCTTCAGCTTAAATATTGGTGGAGATAATACTGAGTCCTGTGACTAGCTGGGACTCCCAAGTGATCTGGTTCTAGGAATCTCCCAATTAATGTGAGCCAAGAGAATACTGAGGCTTATGGTCACATCTCCTGCAGACCATATCTGTACCCCTTCCCAACACAAATTTACATGATTATAACTTCAGTCCACCCACATTTGAGAATGGGCTGGTCAGAAGGAGACAAGAACTGATTGCGAATCCCATTATATTTGATTTTTAGTTATAAAGATGTATGTTACTACTACAAGGTTTTGCTGTAGTGGGTAAATTTACTTTTCACTTTTCTGTGCTTCTTCAGAAATATTTGCACAGTAAGTCTTTGTGCTCTTTCAAAAATATTTTATGTCAGTTGAATTAGATGTCATTACATATTTTCAGTAATAGTTCACATTTACCTAATGATCATTCTTTAAAACAGAAATAAAAGGAAACTGCAATACAGGTTATGATTATTACTAGCTTAGGTTTATCAGTCTGACTTAACTTGATGTTCAGGTTTTATCTCCAGAACTTACATTCTTCATGATCTCCAGCAAGATCCTTTCAGCTCTGGTTTCTCTATCTATGCAGTTGAGATGATAATAACAACTTTCTTCATGGTGATGTGAGGATTAAATGTGCAAGTGTATGTATTGTGTTGTATGTGTCGCGTATTTAATAGCAGTTATTATAAAATTATATCTGGATGATTAATTACCATTTATCTTTATCCATATAGGTCAAATCATATTATTGTCAAATTATTAGCAGATAAACCTCTGAAATTTGTTTTCAACTTAATCCTCTAGGTATCTAAGAGCTCTTCACGTGAGATCACCATTTATTTAATAAACATTTTCTGTTTTTATTTTGAATAACTAAATAGTGTTCCACTGAATGGCTGTATTATAATTTATTCAGTTAGTCCCCTATATTTGAATATTTATGTTGCTTTTAGTCTTTGTGTTATAAACACAGTTATAATTAATTTTTGTAGTAATATATTTACATATGCCATGATTATTTAGTCCTAGGAGTAGAGTAACTCGACCGGAAGATTACATATCAGAATTCTTAGAAGTCTACATTGTCATCAGATTGGCCTTTAAAAAACATAATTTTTTTTTTTTTTGGAAGATTTTATCTAGTTATTTGGGGGAGAGAGAAAGAGAGTGAGCATGAGCATGAGGGGGGGAAGGGGAAAGGGCAGAGGGAGAGAGAGAGAAGCAGACTCCCCACTGAGCAGGGAGTCCAGTGTGGGGCTGGATCCCAGGACCCTGAGGTCACGACCTGAGCTGAAGGCAAATGCTTAACTGACTGAGCCACCCAGGCCCCCCTAAAAAAAACATTATTCTAATTTATATTGCCATCCACAGTGTTGGATAGTAATTCTGTCCAAGTTCCTGTTTTCAGATATGAAAAATAATGATTGAGACCTTAAAGAAACTTTAAAAAAAATTTTTTTTAAATTAACATAATATATTATTTGTTTCAGGGGTACAGTTCTGTGAATCATCAGTCTTACACAATTCACAGCACTCACCATAGCACATACCCTCTTAAAGATGTTATATAGTATATTAAAAAGTACCAAAGAATTTAATTTCCATCATCAGTTTAGTTTGGTTTCAAATTTGGATATGGAAATAGAAATATGGTTTTTGTGTTATTTAATGACTTCTTTCTCTTAAAAATTAAAATAACGCATGTTCATTTTAGTAACATATGTAAATTTGAAAAGTATAAAGAAAAATAACTGCTATTCTTATTTTCGTATTTTGAAATACTTCCTTCAAATGTATATATATTTGAGGGAGGGGGAAGGGCATAGGGAGAAGGAGAAACAGGCTCCCCACTGAGCAGAGGAGCCCAATGATGGTGACACAGGGCTCATCCCAGGACCTTGGGATCATGACCTGAGCTGAAGGTAGACACTTAACTGATTATGCCACCCAGGCGCCCCACCATCAGAATCTTATGTTATACTATATGTTAACTAACTGTAATTAAAAGAAAAACTTAAAAAAAATTAAATGCTTATTTATTTATTTATTTTTAAAGATTTTATTTATTTATTTGACAGACAGAAATCACAGGTAGGCAGAGAGGCAGGCAGAGAGGCAAGCAGAGAGAGAGGAGGAAGCAGGCTCCCTGCTGAGCAGAGAGCCCGATGCGGGGCTCGATCCCAGGACCCCGGGATCATGACCTGAGCCGAAGGCAGAGGCTTTAACCCACTGAGCCACCCACGCGCCCCTAAGTGCTTATTTAAAAGCATTTCTTTTTTTAAAAAATCTGTATAATTTTCCATCTAATAATACCTAAATCCTAGTGCACTTTCTGTTTCCTTAAGTTCTAAAGAGTAATTAATAGGCAAAAGATGGGCACACTTCTGACATCTCTTGCCAACTAGCCCTTTAGGGAATATGGAGCAATTTCGTTAAACAGTTTAAGAATTACACTCACACCTATTACATTAGGTACAAAAAAATAATTTTTCTTGAGAAATTAAAGGCCTAAGTGAAAATATTTAAACAGCAAAAATTTATAAGGAATAAATGTTTAAAAATTTAGCCACATGAATGATATCCTGATTGTACTTTTGATTATTTTTATGGTATAATTGAAGTTACGAAAAGGTCAATAACTTTATTTCTTACTGAATAACAAAGGTAGTTTCAGACTTTATACACTTATATATGCAACATATAGCCTCATTTTTCTATTTCTAATTTCTGTCCCTAAAATTGTTTTATCTAGTGTATCAGTCTGTTAGGGCTGTCATAACAAAATACAACCAAGTAGTTTGCTTAAACTTAAAAGAAGTTAATTTTAAAAGAAGTTAATTTTCTTACGGTTCTGGAGGCTGCAGGTCTAGGATCAAAGGATTGGCAGATTTGATTACTCCTCAGGCTTCTCTCTCTGGGTTACCCATTACTGCCTTCTTGTCTGTCTGGATGCACATGGCCTTTTTTCTGTGTTTGTGCATCCCTGATGTCTTCCCTCTTCCTATAAGGACACTAGTCATATTGATTTATATATGACCTCGTTTAACCTTAAATTGCTTCTAAAGGCCCTTTCTCTGCATACATTTTCTGAGGTGTACTAGAATGAACTTTAACATATGGACACAATTTAGTCCATAACATCTAGATAACCTTTAGCAGTAATGTCTCTGCTAATCATTAGGAGAGCAGTTAATTTATCAATAAGGTTTTTGTTTTTGTTTTTGTTTTCAGGGTGAATCTTCTAATGGCTCAAATGATAGAGGAATGAAATCACTGGTAAATAAAATGACTGTTGCTTTGAAGACAAAGTCTGTTAATGTCAGGGAAAAAGTTATCAGTTTTATTGAGAATACATCAACTCCTGTGGACCGGTGAGTTGCTTATATGGTATGAGTTTATGATGGGTAACTAAAGAAATGTGTCTTACAGTAAGTGCTAGTTGAATTGAATGTGTTCTAGAAGAATCATAAAGTATAATTTTTAATTAGATAATTTCAGTTTTCATTATAATGACAGAGGTGTTCTTTATTGCTGTGAAATTTGACTATTATTATTTCTCTCTCCTGATCAGAATAAAACTCAGATAATGGTACTGCCCCTTTATGCGGTTCATTAAAAAAAAATTAAGATGCTATTATATGTATTACACTTTATGTAGTAGCTGTTTCCCTGGGAACTATCTGCTAAATGCAGTAATCTCAAAACAGGAGCCTCCTCTTCTCCTCTAGGAATTTATAACCTAGAAAATTTGGTCATGTCAAGTAAAGCAAAAACCCATTTTCTTTCTTTTTTTAAAATTAATTGTTTTTTAAGTAATCTCTACAGCCAGTGTGGAGCTCAAGCTCAACAGCCCCAGTGTTGAGAATTAGCTGCTCTACCAACTGAGCCTCCCAGGCATCCCAGAAACCCATTTTCTTAGTTTAAGTGTTTAGATCTTCATAGATTTTGTGTTCACAGACTGTAAGTGACCCCTGTTTTCCCATGAGTTACAAATGAAGGGTTTAGCTAACAAATGATAAGTTTCTGAATGTGTGTTTTAATGCTTCTTACTGGAACTGTAGAGTCCTCAGTGTTTTTTCCTCCAATAGTATTCTGGTTGATTTTTCTTATTCCTGCAGTTCAAAACTAACCTAATAATTCCAACACAGAATTTGTTGCTAAGCAAGCCTGATCTGGAAAGTGCGTTATTTCATTTCAGTTTCATGTCTTCTGTGCAGTATCCTAGGAAAGTTGAAGTATTTCACTTTAAGAATTGAATGTCAGAAATTTATTATTTGCCACTTTTTAATTATAGCACATATGCATACAAAAGTACATTGTTTCCTTTAATAGCAAAGAAGTGAATAGGTTATTTTCACAAATCCAAAAAACTGTGCCTATCTAAAATGGTCCACTGATAAATAATATTTAAGTGTTTTATCAAGCCTAAGAGTCTTTTTTGCTCATTAAAATTGTTTTCAAAAGCCTGTAACTTTTTTACTTTAAAGTTAGTGCATTCTGAACTAGAGTACTATTGCTAAAATTTTATAGCATGAACATATAAACTTTTTAAAAAATGAACTAGTGATAATTGATAATGATAACTTGAAAAGACTGTTGTCTTTGTTTTAAAAAAATCCTTTGAAACTAGTTTTTCTTTATGCTTCTTTGTACTTGGGATGATCAAAACGTTTTCTTTATAATGTATGCTCAGGGCTAGAAAAAGTGATTATACTATATTTTGTTTTAAAGCCATTGTGTTTTTAATAATCATTTTGTTCTGTCCTCTGCCTCAATTTGCTATAGAATGTCTTTCAATCTTCCTTGGCCAGACAGAGCATGTACAGAGCGGTAAGCCAATGAGTAGAGCAGCTTTCTGGGACCATCCTTTTCCTTTTTAGCATGCCTCATGCTCTCTATAAGCCTCACACTGTTAGCTAAAATTTCATGCAGCTGTTTAAAATGCTAAACTTTTCTTACTCTGCTTTTAGGAGTGTGTGATTTTGATTGAGCTGTATTTGTTTTTTGCTTGATCATTTTTTTTTCCTTGCATGCTGCTTTGTATGTCCCATTCCTCAGATAAAAATCAAGTACATTTAAATCCATGAACTTTTATTCTGAAAGAGAGGAAGGTGAAACAAGGGAAATACTTAGTCTCAGAGTGAGCAGGGTGGTAGCTTTGGAAATCATATGCTTCCATCTCCTGCCCTAAAACTAGAGAATATTACTGAGAGAAGGCATATGTCATGATTCAAAATTATTAGTTCAGGTTTTCAAAAGATTTATTTATTTATTTGACAGAGATTAAAGTAGGCAGAGAGGCAGGCAGAGAGAGGAGGAGGCAGGCTCCCTGCTGAGCAGAGAGCCTGATGCAGGGCTCAATCCCAGGACCCCGGGATCATGACCTGAGCCAATCAGGTGCCCCTTGTTACGTAATTTTATAATCTTTTTAAAAAATATTTTTTAAATTAGATATGTGTATTTAGGTTGGTGAATAAACATATATAAATCAGTTCTGAAGAACCACAGTTCTTTGGTTTTCCATGAAAGAAATTAGGTCATGGGGTACATGTTAATGTATAAATCCATCTCTTCTCTGCTCCAAGAAGATGCAAGTGTAAAGTTAAAAAATCTACTGGATCTTCAGTTAGGATGCACAGAAGAACTTTATTAACTTCATACTTTTATATGGCTTTACAGTTTTTATACCCACAGAATTTTTCTGCAGTTTAGAGTATCAATTACAGCAATATCTATAGACATTTTAAAAGAAACTCTAGTTGTATTTTAAGATTTATATATTTATTTTAGAGCATACGAGTGAGGGGAATGGGGTGGTGGGGAGAGATAGAATCCTCAAGCAGACTCCCAGCTGAGTGCAGAGCCTGACTCAGGGCTTGATCACAGAACCCCGAGACTATGACCTGAGCTGTAATCAGGAGTCAGCATCCCAACTGACTGAGCCACCCAGGCACCCCTCTAGTTGTATTTTAAATATAAGTTAAGCTTTGGAATAATGGAGTTGACTTTTTTTTTGTCATTTTAATATTTTCAGTAACTAGAAGTAGCATTTTTAAAAGTAGTAGTTTACTCCTAACTTGTGGAAAGAGTTTTTATTTACCATGACTGTTCCTGGCAGTGCCAGTTTTAGAGCTTCTATTACAGTTTTATCTGAGACTATTTTAAAGGTAGTTGCTTCTTTTAAAATTATAAGCTATTTGTGAATCATTTTTCTACCTTCTCTTGTTATAGGACCATTGAATTAGTCTATTTTAACTACCAAGTTTTCTCCCAAATTCTTAAGTTTTTAAAAATTTAAATGATCTTCTTTGGTCTACAGACAAATATATCTATTTCGAAGACAGAATTTAGTGAAAGTTAGAAAGAACTGGGTTTCTTCTGAGCACAGTAAATAAATTGAAACCTGGCCATACTATGTTACAGATGTTTTTATTATTATTTCAGCTAAAAATGTGTAAGTATACTGCTTTTTAAAGAGTCCAGCCATTGATTCCATTAATTTTTAGCCAGTTTGTTAAGAACTATTTCAGTAATCTTTATAAACAAGATTTATAAAAAATGCATTGTATTATAAAACTAGATCAATAATGAATAGCTTTAATACTTTTTTTTTTTATTTAAGTAGGTTCTATATCCAAGGTGGGGCTTAAACTTACAACCCTGAGATCTAGTCACATCTACTGATTGAGTCAGCCAGGCTCCACCCGCTCCTATTTATTTTTGATTTTTGCTTTATTTATACTTGCCTTCTGGTTTAAGCATCTACTGTAAACATCTTTGTTTCTGTGTTATGTCTGTTTAATTATGTTTTACTATCAGGAGAGAACCAATAATAATCTCAAACAATTTTATAATCTAGATGGCACTGAAGTATTTTTAGACAAAGCTATATTGTCTTTGTCTTTTATAAGAAAACTCAATCTATGTTTCATAGTTGTTTACTTATTTCATTTTCTCTAATGAGCATAGTTTAATGGATAATGCTTAATTTTATATTAGATATGTTTTAGCCTAAAATGATTTTATGATTTAATTTAAACTGTCTACTATGTATGATTAATTTGTAATTACCAAAGAGTGTTATATGTTCAGCTATCAGTTGATTTTTCTAATGAGGTTTCTGTTGAAGAAAGTTATTTTGGGAGAAATAGATTTAAGCCTATTTCAATAAAATTGGGTCATGATAAGATTTTTTATTCAAGATCTGTATTAAGAAATTATTTAAAACAGAGATTTGATCTCTATATTCTGGAAAAATTGAATTCTAAGATTGAGTAAAGACATGTAACTTGAATTTTTTCCATATTGGACTACCTCTTGATATATGACCCAAAAAAAGGCAGTTTTTCTTTTATTGTAGGTAATCTCGATGGAACATTTATCTTACAAATAATATAATGCTTTTTCCCCAGGAGCATGTACTTTGTTGAAATATTTTAATTTTTCTTTTTGGTTTGTTTGAGATTACCTAAAAAGTACTGAGGTATAAATTTTTATATTAAAAAGAGAGAGGTCATACTTCTTGCAGAACTAATCAAGTTTGAGTTTACGTGTTCTTTATGCTTCTGCTACTTGAAAAAGAAAGATTAATTTTTATGGTTTATTTACATTTGTGTAAAAGAAGTAGCATGTTTCTTTTAAAACAAAAGTAACAGTAATAAAAAAATGGGAGTATTATAATGTGAGCATTGGGTAATGTATAAAATTTGTCAATCACAATGTTGTACAACTGAAACTGTGATTAAAAAAAAAAAATGGGAGGAAGAATCCTAAGGTATTTACTTCCTAATGAGGAAGACTTAACACTTTCCTGGAATTTAAATATTTGGTTCCATAATCTGTTTTCTCTAACAGATGTGCATAGCACTTGCTATATGCCAGGCATTGTTCTAAGAGCTTTACAAAATATTAACTGGTTTAATTCTCACAGTAACCCTGAAGGGTAGATATTGTTGTTATTACTGTTTTGGAGATATTAAAACAGAATCACTGAAAGGTTAAATGACTTCTCTAAGGTTATACAGATCTAAGCACTGGTTTTAATATAAACTTTTTTTTTTTTTTTTTAGTTTTACAGATCAAAAGCGTTCAGTCTATTAAGACACAATGCCACTTTTGCTAACATATTTTCCTTACCTTGTTAGAGTTTCCCTAACATAACTATTCTAAATAGCATGATATATGGGGGCTAAGGACAAAGAATATGTACATTTTGTTTAAATATTCATATGATACTTGGTGAAAATCTTTGGTAACTACTTAAGTAATGATTTCCCTTCTAAAATTCTTTGAATATAGGCATGTGAGCAGCAGTGACAGAGTGGGCAAGCCTTACCGTGGTGTAAAGCCTGTTTTCAGCATTGGGGATGAAGAAGAATACGACACAGGTGTAGTAATAACACTTACCTGTAGATGCTTTTCGCAGGCACTAGCAGTGATTAGAGAGAGCGTTCTGGGGCTAGCCAACAACGGCTTTAAAAAAAAAAATTCTCTAGATTGGAGAGTCTGTAGTTTTTCTACTGAGTTTGGCTTTAGACATCTTAAGTTATGCCTGTTAAAATTCAAGCAGAAATGGTGAGTAGGCAGTGGATTATAGGAGTCCTTAGCCTTAGGAGACCTTAGAGAGGAGGTCTAATAAACCGGTGATGACCTGGGAATTATCAGTGTTGAAATAGTATTCAAGTCCATGGGATTTGATTTAAATCTCCTTGATCCATCCATCTAGGAGACAGAGTTGTGGGTCTAAAATCAGGGAATTCCAAAATTGAGTCATCTGGGAAGAGAATTGGAGGCAGTATCCTAAAGGGCCACAAGATGGGGATATTGTGCCGGGGAAATGTATCATTCTCTGTGGTTGTCTTTATATTTTAAAAATAATTTATTACTTTGGTTCATAATACTGCTGCCAAGATTATGGTGGTTAAGTAATCATATTAATATTACTATGTGCATGGGGCTAGGAAAAATAAAACAGTAAATGTACAAAATAAGAGGAAAAAACCTCTCAAATTTCATGTTGCTTTTTTCTGTTTAGTAATACATGTTGCGTATTTTCCATCTTAGCCCACATTCCACCATTGTAAGCATACCATAATCTATTTAATCATTTTTCTCACAATTCACATTGATAGTTTTCCTTTCTTTTTGTCTCAAATGACAATAGATATTTTTATACATAGAGCTATATGAACTTTTGTAAGTATATATAGAGGGTATATTCTGAGCAGGAAGATTGTTAGATTATAGGGAACCACATTTGACAGTTTAATAAATATTATAGAATCACCTTCCCAAAAACTTACATTAAGGTAAATGAAATTTTCTGTGTGCTATTTCTAATTGTTTCTTTTTATTCTTGCCCCTTTTTTGTTGCTATCTTCTTGTTATTTATCAGTCTCTAGCTCTCCCTGAGTATTTCTTCTTTTATTAACAGTTTTCATTTCAACTATTTTCATTCCTCTGAGAGGCATATGGATGAATAAATTATGGTATATTTTCACGTGTCATGTATTTGCACATATATTTTTATTATGGAAAATTGCACAGTAATGAAAATGAGAAAACTAGAGCTCTGTGTATCAACATGGATAAATTTTACAGTGTTGGGAGTGAAGAAGCAGTTGTGGAAGAATACAGTCAAACAGTCTGCTATTTATATAAATGTTTCTTAAAGTGCAAAACACTACTGTGTATTGTTTGAGGATATTCATGTATGATTAAAGGCAAGGATGGAACCATAACCGATAATCACTGTTTCTTAGTGGACAAGGGAGAGGAATGAGAATGGGGTGATATATATAAGGGTTCTACTTTTTATTTAGGCTGAAAGTGTATAGATATATGAAATTTCCTTTTTTATTATGTCTCTTTATATTTTGAAGTATTTCTTTAAAAGGGAGGAACATTTGTAATTATTAACACTAGTAACACTAGTGACTATAATTCCCCTTTGTTAAATTAGAAAAACAAAATAATTAGAATGTCTTACAATTCTGCATGAAAAAGGATAAAAGACTAAAGAGATTTTTATTTATTTATCAGAGGATGGATTTTCTTGTTGTTTTTCTTAAAATCAAAACCAGCAAGAGAAAAGGAACTCTGCCATCTTTGCCTTCAAGATAGGTGCTTATTATTGGACAATTCAGCCATCTCTCTAGGGTCTAGACATAGATTAGAGTCATGTTACATAAAGCAAAAGTTTTGAAATTCCTCAGATAGTTGTCTTTTAAAAATTTATTTACATTATTTATTTTTTATTGAAGTATAGTTGACACACAGTGTTACAAGTGTATTCTTAGTATTTTCACCTGACTTTCTTACTGTGTGGCCTAATGCTTGAAAATAGTATTTTCGGATTATGCCAGTGGCATAAGGAAATACAGTAGTGGGATTAGAATTGTTTTGTTTTTCAAAATGTATGTTTGAAATATTGAAATCTTTTTCAGGCTGTTAAGAAATGTCTCATTTTTAAAACTGGAAATTCCCATTTTTAATGCTTTCAATTCTTTGTAGATGAAATTGATAGCTCTTCAATGTCAGATGATGACAGAAAAGAGGTTGTAAACATCCAGACTTGGATAAACAAGCCAGATGTCAAGCATCATTTTCCTTGTAAAGAAGTTAAAGAAAGTGGACACATGTTTCCTAGGTACTTTTTAAAAAATGCCTTCTGCTGAAGTAAAATTAAATTTAGTTAATAAAAAAACAACTGCAAAAGAAATTTTCTTTATGCAAGTATAAGATATAATTTAACTTTGTCAACTTGTATTATATGTCCTGATTTTTATTTTTCTTTTCTTTTTCTTAAAAGAATTTATTTGAGAGAGAGTGTGTACAAGTGGGGGAGGTGCAGTGGGAGAGGGAAAAGCAGGCTCCCCACCGAGCAGGGAGCCCAATACAGGGCTTGATCCCAGGACCCGGAGATTATGACTTGAGCCTAAAGCTTACACTTAACTGATTGAGCCACCTAAGCACCTCTACATGTCTTGATTTTAAGAATATTTCTTATGTATTTTTTATTTTGAAAATTTTAAGCAAAAAAGTTGAAGGAACAGTACATTGAACATCTTTATAGTTTGTTTTCTCTATTTGGGGGAATAGATGGTGGAATAGGATTCTTCTCTTAGGTTCATCGGATTTTTTTTTTTTTTTAAGATTTTATTTATTTATTTGACAGAGATCACAAGTAGGCAGAGAGACAGGCAGAGAGAGAGAGGGGGAAGCAGGCTCCCCGCCGAGCAGAGAGCCCGATGCGGGGCTCCATCCCAGGACCCTGGGATCATGACCTGAGCCGAAGGCAGAGGCTTTAACCCGCTGAGCCATGCAGGCGCCCCAGGTTCACCGGATTTTAATTTCTTTTTGCACTGCCCCATCTTTCCATTTTTTATCTATATATAGACACAAGAATATACACAGTTCTCTTTTGTCAAGCCATTCAGAAGAATCTTACAGATATGACACTTTACCCTAAATGCTTCAGCATAAGTCACCCAAGAATATGAGCATTATAACTCTTCAAAAACCTTAAAATGAGCATCATTCAACATACAGTTCACACTCAGATTTTTCAGAGTACCCCCACAGCACCTTTTATAGTCTCTGTTTTTTCTCTTCTCAATCCAGGATCTAGTCATGGTCCACACATTGCATTTGCCCATTAATCGCTTTAGTCTCATGCTATGTCCAACAGTACCACTACCCTTATCACCACCTCCGCTTTGCTCTATGATGAATGAATCCTGAGGCTAGGCCATTTATTCTGCAGAATGTCCTGCATTCTGGACTTGTCCGATACTAGTCTTATTGTATTACACAAAAGTATATGAGTATATCCCTATAATAAATGAACTGAGACACAAAGAGGGGGACACAAGCTTAGACACAATAATTCTTTGCCCATTCTGTGTTCAAGATCCACTTACAGAATATTATAAAACATGTAAGGCAGCCCAACTACTGCTTAGCGGGCTTCAGTGTAGAGTATATACTGTAGTATAGTGAATGAGAATAGTTTATGAATATAGACAATAACTCTGGGAAAGTTTGAAAAGTACTATCTTCCATATATCATGCAGAGTAGATTCTAAAAATATTATTTTAATGATTTCTAATTGTATTGTAGTTTTTATTATATAAAATATAAAACGTGCTTTTAAATAGTTAACAGGATTTTCTGTTAATAAAATGCTAATTTTTCATACAATTAAAGGGAACTTAAAAATGTTACTGGGTACCTTTTTGTTCTTAGGTGATCCTTTGTCTATATTCTTTAATTCAAAAGTAATTTCATCTGGATTGAATATTTTTTATTGTGTTAACAGCTGTTTTGCATGACATTTCTTTAAAATTCTTCTTGTTTTTTAATGTTTTTTTCCCCTCTCAAGTCATCTGTTGGTTACTGCAACACACATGTACTGTTTAAGGGAGATTCTTTCACGGAAAGGATTGGCTTATATACAGTCTCGACAAGCACTAAATTCTGTAGTTAAAATTACATCTAAAAAAAAACATCCTGAGCTAATTACCTTCAAGTATGGAAACAGCAGTGCTTCAGGAATAGAAATCTTGGCAATCGAAAGGTAAGATTTTCTTAGGATGATGTTATCTGAATTGTTGAATTAGTTCATTATTAAACATAGTTTGTTTCTCTATTTGGGGGAATAGGTGGTGGACTAGCATACTAGAGCCACTTTTATCAGCATTCTTTGCTGATTTTTTTCTTCTGTATCTTTAGTCATATGTGGCTAATCAGCATGTGGTTCCAGTGAGTGCCACAGCTAATTTCATAAACTTTTTGCCAGAAGGGTCTTTTAAGTAATCTGTACCATTGCTGCACTAAATGCTGGTTTGTAAACAGGTAGGAAGCTTGTTTCAGAATATAAGTCAGTGTTTCTGTTTTCTTTCATCAAAAAATTCTTGCTTTGAAAATGTGTCAGCAAAGCAAGCAGTGTGCTGTGTCGTATATTTAATTTACAATCTGGTATAAGCTCCTTCTTGTCTTAATGTGGACCAGTGACAAACAGTTCATGTACTGGCACCAAGGGCTGCAGGACCACACTGATCTCAAAACTAAACCATCTTTATAATCCTTTAAAAATGTGAACCCCAGAGGAGTTGAATGACTTGCAGATCTTCACACCTAGCTTGTGATCAGACCAAATATAGCCTTTCTGACTCCTGATGTGTGGTTCATTACATCTGGCTATACACTATAAGAAAAATCACCTAGCTTTGACATTTAGATTTTCTTTCTTTCAAAATGTGCTTTCGAGTGTGTATTGGATAAGTTATGGTAAATATCAGGATGTGTCTGCTTCTTTGTAGGTTAGGAAGGCTTCCCACTGGAAGTGACATCTAAGCTGAGTCCTGGAGTGAAAGCAATTTATATTAATATATATGTATATTTCCCCTCTCCCCACCAACAGGTATTTGATTCCAAATGCAGGAGATGCTACCAAAGCCATAAAACAACAGATCATGAAAGTTTTGGATGCTTTGGAAAGTTAATATAAAAGAGAATTACTTCAAAAGAAATTAAGGCAACCAAGAGAAAGAAACAAGGACATATTTTCCTGATTGAATACTAACTGAGGACCTTTCATTTGCTCATGGGGGTGCTTGAATTGCAGGTCTAAGTATGTGTGAATTATTATAATCAATTTCTGGACAGTTAAAATTTTTCTTAAATTTTCTTTTGCATTTTCAGTTTTGTAAAATGATTTATAAAGGTCAGTTATTAAATGACTTTGAAGTAACTGACCCTTTGCCCTTAGGAACTAAGGGTGCAGAATGCAGTTCTGTTTTGAAGAGCTGTGTTTTAAAAAGGGAACATGTATCACTTTCAGATTTAAAAAGACCCATACACATATATACTTGCAATGTCTTCAATGAAAATTAGAGATAGAATTAGCTGAAGAGACCCCTTTAATTGCTACATTTAGTTTATCCACTGAGCAGTATCAGAAACTGAGAGTATTACATAGATTAATAGCTCGCTGTTTCTGTCCTTAAAAAAAAGTGAAATCTTTTAAATGAAGTGGATGAAGATTCCAGCCAACTCAGAAATGCAGTCCAGTTAGTGAAATGTGAAGCATCAGTATCTAAATCATTTTTTGCATCATTAGCTAATGATTTGAACACTGGGTGCTTCACATACTAAACTTCATCCTAATGGTTTCTAAGGAGCAGTTAAAAGTATAATAATAAGTAGGTAGGCATACTAAGATTAAAATAAACATTTTGGGGACAAGAATTATACCTGTAAAAATGTCATTGGTCTTTATTACAAGTGGAATATTTGATTTAGGATATTTCAGAACAGGTGTTGTACACACATTGATTTATCCTTACTGAAGTTATGGTCTGTGACCACACTAGTGTCCACTTAAAGCCAAATAATAAGAGAGCTATATAAAGTACAGTTTTATCATCTCTTTCTGAATTTTTTTTCTCTTCTTTGGTTTTTGTCTTCTCTTGCTAAAGTTCCAGTGGTTTGAAACTATTTTTATTTTTTAATATGACAAAACTAAAAAGTGATCTGCTTCATTTTGCAGCTTTCTCAGTTTAATTTATTGAGGTCTATATTAGACACCTTTGGTGAGAGAAAATCTGGGAACATGTTTGGGGCTATGGAATGACTCTTATAAAATCTTTTTGGGAACTAGCAAATCCTAACAATTTACCATGTCCTAAAATGTAATGGATTATCTCTAAGGGGTTGATAGGAGAAATATTTAGATGTACTCTATTTATAGCCAGTTATTGGAAATCAAGTGAATAACAGGCAACATAGTTCAAGATATTTTATTCTAATACCTAAATAAAAACCGTTTACTTGAGTGGTTGAAGACATTTGCATGAAATTGCACCTGGTGCAGTACTTGATATTTATAACTCTACCCACAACAGTTGTATTGCATTTTTCTTTTTTTCTTTGGTGCCCGCCCCCTTTAGAAATGCCCTGAAGTCTCCATTTTTTGCCCATTTCAGCCATGGGACTTTTTTCATAATATTAATGTAAAGATGTTTGTGTTACTGTTTATAAATTACAATTGTAAATAAACCAGTACAATTTGCTCATAACTTTGTTCTTAATGACTCTCTTTTGATGTTTTTCTCCCCTCCCGCTCCCCATTTGTAAATCTCTGTTGGTAACACAAAATTAGAAAATTGACGGCTATCCTTTCAGTGGAATTTAATGTTCAGGTTTTAGGATTGAAAGTATTAGATTTCTATTTCAGCTCATCTGTATGGGGAAGGAGGAAAGAGGTAGTTTAATGACATTAAATTCCACATGTAATAAATTTCTGCCTTGACCTACTTAACCTCCCTAAACTTTAGTTTCCTCATCTGCAGTAACATCGCAGTTACTAGTCATAAATATCAAATGAAAACGCATGTCACTGATTGTAATGGGCACTTATGTAGCTCATCTTTCCTTAATGGACCCACTAGTTACAGAACTAGAATTCACTCTGGGATATCCACTTCTATGGACTCTCAAGGATTGCAGAGTTTGCAACATGATGAAGTTGTTAGTATTTTCTGTATTTTCAAGATTAGAAAACAAAGGCTGAAAGAAATTGAGTGAGTGAAAAGGGAAGGTATCCCCTTTTCCCTCTCTATTCCCTCCCTATTCCCTGAGAATTATTACTCCTTATTAAAGTAGAACATCAGTTCTCCCACATAGATTTGATGGTAATCACCAACCACTAATGAAACACATTTTCTAGTAGGGATGATAAATTTGTACCGATACATTATTCAACCATTTTTTTGCTGCCAGTATGTTTCACACAGGACCTTTATGATATATTTTTTTTAAAGATTTATTTTATTTATTTGAGAGAGAGAGAGAGAAAGAGAGGGAGCATGAGAGGAGAGAGGTCAGCGGGAGAAGCCTACTCCCTGCTGAGCAGGGAGCCAATGTGGAACTCGATCCTGGGACTCAGGATCATGACCTGAGTCAAAGGCAGTCACTCAACATACTGAGCCTCTCAAGCGCCCTGTGATATATTTTTTTTTAAATATTTTATTTATGGGGCACATGGGTGGCTCAGGAGGTTGGGCCTCTGCCTTCGGCTCAGGTCATGATCTCAGGGTCCTGGGATCGAGCCCTGCATCGGGTTCTTTGCTCAGCGGGTAGCCTGCTTCTGCCCCCCGCTGCTCTGCCTACTTGTGATCTCTCTGTCTAATAAATAAATAAAATCTTTAAAATAAAAATAATTTATTTGAGAGAGAATGAGAGTGAGCAACCATGAGAGGGGAAGGTCAGAGGGAGAAGCAGACCTCCACTGAGCAGTCCCACCTCCCATGTGGGACTCAATCCCAGGACTCTAGGATCATGACCTGAGCCCATATAATATTCTAACATACTAAACTAATCAGCCATAGATCCGCATATCTATTTAAAATTGACAGTTTGTCTTGCGGAAAACCCAACTCTGTGGGTTGTGTGATGAAAGTAATGTTTCAACTCTACCGTTAACATTTTGAATTAAAATATTTATTGGGGGTACCTGGGGTGGCTCGGTTGAGCATCTGCCTTCAGCTCAGGTAATAATCTCAGGGTCCTCAGATGGAGCCCTGCATTTGGCTCCTTGTTCAGCGGGATGCCTGCTTCTCCCTCTGCCTGTCGCTCCCTGATCTTTTGCTTGCTCGCTCTCTGCCTCTCTCTCTCTCCCTACCTCTCATAAATAAACATTTTAAAAATAAATAATTTGTTGAGCTATAATCCCACATACCATAAACTTCACCTTTTGAAGGTCAACAAAGTGGTTTTTAATATATTTACAGACTTGTGCAACCATCAGAAGTATTTTATTTCAGAACATCTCATTGCTCAAAAAAGATCCATACCTGGGATGTCTGGGTGGCTCAGTTGGTTCAGTGGTGAAGTGTCTGCCTTTGGCTCAGGCCATGATCCCAGGGTGCTGGGATCCAGCCTGAGTTGGCTCCCTACTCAGGGGGGCCGGGGTATGGGGGGATTCTGTTTTTCTCCCTCCCTCTGCCCCTCTTCCCATCCCTCCCCCACTTGTGTGCTTTCATGCATGTACTCTCTCTCTTTTCTCTCTCAAATAAAATCTTAAAAAAAAAAAAAAAAGATCCGTACTCTCCTTTTTCCTTTCTCCATCCAGCCCTTGGCAGCCACTCATTTCCTTTCTGTCTCCATGGATTTGCCTGTTCTGGATATTTCATGATAAAAGGAATCATACAATAAATGTCTTTTATGTCTGGCTTCTTTCACTTAGCATAATATTTTCAAGCTTCCTCCATGTTGTAGTATGTATCAGAATTTTGTTCCTTTTTATGGCTGAAGAATATTCCATTGTATGGATGTATCATGTTTTATTTATCCATCACTTTTTTTTTTTAAAGATTTTATTTAGTTATTAGAGAGAGATTGAGTACGGGCCAGGGGGGAAGAGCAGAGGGAGAGGGAGAAGCAGGCTCCCTGCTTAGCAGGGAGCCTGATGCGGGCTCCATCCCAGGACCTGAGATTATGATGTGAACCGAAGGCAAATGCCTTATCGACTGAGCCACCCAGGTGCCCCTATCCATTCATCACTTGTTGGAAATTTGTGCCAAGCTCTAAATCCAATAAGATAATTGTCAAGTTGGATCTTTTGATTTTTTGTAGTATCATACATTTTCCTAAGATCTCTGTTCTTGAGTTCCTGTTCTTACTATGGTGGAGATAATTCCAGTTCTGATTTTCAGCCCTTCATCTTTATTAGTTATTGTAACTATTAGTTGTATTAGTAACTATTAGTTATTGTAACTATTAATGACTATTGTAACTGTTAGTCTATTGTATATCTACCTCACCCCCCAGAATTGAACTTTATGTCCTCACTGTTGTATATATACCTCACCACTCGGAATTGAACTTTATGTCTCCTAGACTAACTTCCCTAATACTACAAAGAGTAATTGGAGGATAAGGTACTGAGGGAAAAGAGACCAGTTAAGTTGCCTAAAGCAGTCGCCTCCAAATGAGGAAAGCCTAGCCATGGTCACAGGGACAGAAGAGGAGGCAGCAATCAAGGGGTATTAGGAGAGTCAGAAGGGCCCTGTCCTTAACCAGAGATGGACAATAAAAGACTTGAAAGATACAGGGGTGATTTCAGTTTTTGAGGGGAGGACATGGGGAACTGGGAGAATTGGAAAACAGCACAAATGTGGTGGTGCCTATATTTAAGAGCAAAGCTGGGAGAAGCTCTTGTAGAGATGATAAAATTAGTTTTGGACGGTTGAGTTTAAACTGATGTTAAGATATGTAAATAGAGATGACTTCCAGGCAGCTGGGGATGCCGGAAAAGCTCCTCTGGAGTAAAAATAGAAATCTGACCAGTATCAGCTTGGAAAATGGTCAGTAGAGCTGTGAGACTTGATTGGCGATGCCAGATTTTGAGCTGGGCTCTGGAGATCCACTTAGTGTAGTGCTTTTATTTTTTGGCTATTTTTCAAATGTCAGATGAAAGGAACATGGAAACATGAAGGCAGAGGTGCTGTGTTCACAGGGAGTGAAGATGTGACAGGAAAGACTGCACAAACTCTGTCCTCCAGCTTCTTCTTTTGCCTGTGAATCTTTTGTGCTACAGATGATGAAAAGTTCTTGAGAATGAGGTGATTTGCCTTAGCCTCCATCAGTGGCAGAGCCAGAACTGGAACCCAGTGACTAGCTTTCCCTTATGCCCAGAAAGTTCTAAAGGAATGCTTGAAAACAGTTTTCATATTTCTTAACTGTTCCTTTTCTAGAACCCGTCACTAGCTTCCCTGCATGCGATGTAGGGAACACAGCACCCACAGACTCTTGGTCTGGATATCCCTCTCCTGCTTCTCCTACCTCTTAGGTGGCTCCTTACCAGGCCCTACTTATGCCTGTGCTATTCACAGTCCACTCGCATGTTGTCATCCATACTCAGAATTTTGTCCTAGTTTAAATTGCTGGTGACTCCTAAATCAGTCTCTAGCCTGAACATCTGAGTTTAAGGCTGATGGCCAACTGCCTAGTGGGCATCTCCACCTATATGTTCTAATAACATGTCCAGCCATGTTTGGTACTACTGTCAGATACAGCTTTATGCCAATGAACTTACAAATCTAAATGAAATGGGTGACTTTTTTGGGCAGATTATAAGTGGCCAATATTGACTCAGGAATCTTAATAGGCTAATAAACATAGCAGAAATTAAAAGGTTATTATCTTCCTGCTATAAAGCCAGGCCCAGCTAGTCTGTTAAACCTTCAAAAAAAAAAAAAAAACCATAATTACTATGTATTTTCCCCCAACTTTTTATTATGAACGTTTTATAATTTGAAATTTTATAGTTTAAAACTTTTAGAAGGTCTTAAAATAGTACCATGAACAGCTATATATTCTCCTCTTAGATTTAATAAATTTGCCACATTTGTTCTATAAGCACATATTTTCTTTTTGCCTACCATTTTCAAGTCAGACTTTCTGACACTTTACCCTTAAATACTTCAGCATGCATCTTCTCAGAGTAAAGACATTGGCATAATCACAAAATTCATGAAGGCATCAAATACCCAGTTCATACTTAAATATCTCTATTCCAAAAATGTTTTTAGAGTATCCTTTTAAAAACTAGGATCCAAACAAACAAACTAGGATCTACTTCAATAAACTACTCCAGAGCATTGAAAAGGATAGCAAGAAAAAAGAAAAAAAAAAGGATAGCAAGTTTTTATTTGTTTTATGATTTTTGATCCCTAAACGTAACAACAACAACAAAAACACATGAAACACAAAATTCAAAGAGCAATCTGGGGCAAGTGGGTGGTTCAGTCAGTTAAGCCTTTGCATTTGGCTCCGGTCAGGATCTCAGGAATCCTGCTCAGCAAGGAGTCTGCTTCTCAGGGGCAGCTGGGTGGCTCAGTGGGTTAAAGCCTCTGCCTTCAGCTCAGGTCATGATCCCGGGGGCCTGGGGTCGAGCCCCACATCGGGCTCTCTGCTCAGCAGGGTTCCTGCTTCCTCCTCTCTCTGCCTGTCTCTCTGCCTACTTGTGATCTCTGTCAAATAAATAAATAAAATCTTTAAAAAAAAGAGTCTGCTTCTCCCTCCCTCTCCCTCTGTCCCTCCAGCCCCCACACTCACTCTCTCAAATAAATAAATCCTTTTAAAAAATCAAAAAGCAATCCTAATAAATATAAATGCAAAAGTCCTAACAATATTAGTGTATTTCAGTAACAGTAGGATACAGGCGGGGCTGGGTAGGGAGAGATAGGTAGGGGGCTATGGGATCAGGCTCACAGAAATCCCAAAAATGCTGAGGTGTAAAGGAACCAGAGATAAGGAACAAACCAAACCACCCTGCCCTAGGAGTGAGGGGGAGGGGGAGTGACTTAAAATAGTCATCTGTGACCAACAAAAAATAACCAGACCCTAAAAAAGAAGCCATTAAAGATGTTATCACTAGTCATTACTCAAACCAAGACATCACAAGAATGATAAGGCCACAAGGTGCCTGGCCAGTTCTAAATCAAAGACTATCAGTGAAGGCCCTCCTTGGCAGTGCTGTCGGCACCCCTCTCACTCCTAAATGCTTTTTTTCCCTGTATCCTTGCTTAATAAACTTCTATCGCTTTACTCACTCTACTGTCTGCGAGACTCATTCTCTGACTCCCCGAGACAAGAACCTAGCTTTCCCTCTTCAAGAGGACTGAACTTAGAAGGATACTGTATTTGAACTGTTTCTCTTTTCCCCTCCCCCATGACGGAGCAGCCTTGTGGTCAGAGCCCGCTGATGTCTTGAGTGATTAAAGCAACCTAGGTAATTTCATCCCCCTCACAGCGACTTGTTCAAGTAGCCCAAGGCAATCAGCAAATAGAGTGTTATTCCTGGCCAGAGGTCATCTAACCAGCAAGAGGTTCGGTCTTTTTGCTGACAATCGGAGAGGCCGATTGTTAAATACCACCCCAACTTAGATCGCCCCCCTTGGCCCCTTTGGCTTTTGAGGCATTCCCTTTTCTGGATTGGGATGTCATTAGTCGTTTCTCGTTGCTTCATCTTAGTGCAAACAGCGGAGGAGTAACAGGTGGTTGAGGAGAGCAGGGAAGCGAACACGCTCTGGGCGGAGCCGGAGGCGGGGCGTGGACGGAGCCCAGGGTCCCGCCCCCTCCTGCGCGCGGCTCTGCCCCGCCCCAAGCCGTGTCGCCGCTTGCGCTTCAGAGACCTCCTTTCGGGCCGCGCTACCGATGGTGCTACCTGGGAGAGCAATGGCCAGTAAGTAGCTCGGCGGCCGGAGCTCAGCCCTGGCCGGAGCTCAGCCCTGGCCGGAGCTCAGCTCCGAGGTTGCGGAGCCGGCGGCGGGTCTCCCCGGCTCAGCCGCTCGCCTCCGCTCCGTGTCCCCGCCGCTCTCCAGGCCTTCCCCGGCCCGGCGTTCTCGGGGCCGGAGGCTCCGGCGACTTGGCGGCGGCAGTGCGCAGGGCGAGGGTGCGGCGGCGGAGCGCGTCCCGGCGCACTCCCGGGGACTCGAGGCTTCCGGGAGGGCCTGGCGGCCGCGGGAGCACCAGGCCTCCCGGACAGAAGGGCCCACGCTTTCCTCCTCGCTGGGCTCCTGCGTCCCGTGCCTCTAGGTGCGTTCGGGGGCCTCCCACTGCAAGTTCCCCTGCGCGGGAAAAGGCGGGTAGACGGGTGCTCACTTAAAATCCAAGTTCCGCACCCCCCTTTCCCGGCCCCAACTCGAAGGCTGCACTCTCAGAAAGCCTTCCGTGATTACGATACTTCAAGTGTGGGAACCTCTGCCTGGTGGGATTCTTGGAGGCTCTTTGGTTTTGCATCAGAAAGCGCGCCTCTCCAGCGGGGTCGCTTTCACTCTCCTCCCAGATTGACTTTTGGACTTGAGTTTTGCAAAGACATCAACCCTGGTTGTGGTTGGAACCCTGTCACGTGAAAATGAAGCATGTGTTTTCTTTCGTTTGGGCTGTGTGGTAAGAGGACTGGTTAACTTGCCCCCTGGTGCACACCCCCACAGCCAGTGGACAGTGCTCTCTTCTGCTCAAGAAAACTGGACAGGCTGTTTCTGTATCTGGACATTGAGCTTTCAGGTTAGGTATTACATGTTACTTACACATCTCTACCCTGGATCAGCCCCAGGGGCACGTTTCTAACGATCTCTGCCCCCAGGCTCTGCCAGATTCTTTTCTGGGAGGCTTTGAAATGCTCTGGGCTCATTGTCTGGAGACCTGGATTTTTTTTTTTTTTAAATATAAAGATTTTATTTATTTATTTGACAGATCACAAGTAGGCAGAAAGGCAGGCAGAGAGAGAGGGGGAAAACAGACTCCCTGCTGAGCAGAGAGCCCCATGCGGGGCTCCATCCCAGGACCCTGAGATCATGACCTGAGCTGAAGGCAGAGGCTTTAACCCACTGAGCCACCCAGGCGACCCTGGAGACATGAATTGTTACAGTTTTGCCTCAGTCCATGTCAACAAGTCATTTAATCTCTCTGAACCTGTTTTCTGACTTGTAAAATGGACATAATCTGCCCTTGCTGAGTCTTGGGAGGGTCCCAGAAGATGGTAAGGTTTGTGGAAGTGCTGTTTTCGTCTTAACCTGCCAGAGCTCAGTGAGAGTTGGTGGCTGAATGAATGTTCATGATTGGGTCAGGAAGTCCTCGCACACGCCTCCCTCTGTGTGTGACGGTATCTTTGAAGATGCAGGGCATGACAAAGGCTGGTGGACCTGAGAGCTGTGGTTCCTGATGGGGTCGAAGGTGATGTCTGATTTTTGAGGAATGTTTTCAGGTTACATGACCTCCCCCTAACCCATCCAAAAATGAACAAATGAAGTTCCCATCCTGCTTTACACTTCCAAATTTTGGCTTGGTTTGTGCCACTGACTTTTCACTCAGGTTCTGAAACTACTCAGGAAGCTGCATTCAGGGTTAAATTGAGCTCTTCTCACTGTATTTAGGACAAACCAAGGAATGGAACATCTGAGTTTTCCTACTTTTAGGGTTATCACTTAGCCAAACAGGCCTTCAGAGGTAAGGCTCTGTCAGTGTTGCTTCTTCTTCTGGGGACATTTGCACCACTGTAGGTGACACCCAGGGGAGAACTCTCTAATGGTTTCCAGGTATCAGAGCTTTTCAGATTTCTAGAGCAGAGGTGGGGTAGGGAAGCCAGGGAAGGCCATTACTGATAATTCCTGAAGATAATTACTGATAATTCCTGAAGTTTTGCAGAGCCTCACGAGTTCTCACGGGTGCTTTTGACCTTTAATATCCCTGTCCATCACACCATGAGTGAAAACTGTGCATCAGTGAGAGTCCAGACAGGACACAGAAACCACACTGGTCATCTGAACGGGGAAAAATTTTTTTTAAAGATTTTATTTATTTATTTATTTTAAAGATTTTATTTATTTGACAGAGATCACAAGTAGGCAGAGAGGCAGGCAGAGAGAGAGAGAGGAGGAAGCAGGCTCCCTGCTGAGCAGAGAGCCCGATGCGGGGCTTGATCCCAGGACCCTGAGATCACAACCTGTGCCGAAGGCAGAGGCTTAACCCACTGAGCCACCCAGGCGCCCAAGATTTTATTTATTTATTTGATAGAGATTACAAGTAGTCAGAGAGGCAGGCAGGGAGAGAGGAGGAAGCAGGCTCCCCACTGAGCAGAGAGCCCAATGCGGGGCTCGATCCCAGGACCCTGAGACCAATGACCCGAGCTGAAGGCAGAGGCTTTAACCCACTGAGCCACCCAGGCACCCCTGAACGGGGAAAATTTTATTATAAAGAATGATTAACCAGTAGGTGATTATTCTTAAGAGCTACAAGAGAACTCTAAAGAATATAGGAAAAGCTCATGTAGGCTGTAGCTATTACCTCAAGGAGGGAAGAAGCCTGGAAGAGCCCCTGACCTCCTTGGCTGACAGCATTTCTTGTTGGCCACATAATCCGTGGGACTCAGTCTCTGAGGGAAATGTGGAGCCCCTTACTCAGGTAGCAGGAAAAAACACTGCTGACTTTTCCTTCTTTTGTCTCTCTCTCAGCCTCTCCTGGTGCTTCTTATTTGCTACTTACTGTTGTGCTCCTTGGGGCACAGGAATATTCAGTGAGTGCAAAATCTCACAGGTGCCCGGAGGCCCTGCCTGTGACTAAGTACAGGTGCTGCTCATCGGCTGCCAGACTCCCCACCCCCCATCCCTCCTGCACCCGGCCGGCTGGTGACACCAGGTCCCAGCTGGTGCTGGGGAAGCAGAGACAGGCGCCTCTCCTTCCCATGGGCCCACTGCCCTACTTCACGGGGAATGGGTGATTTCCAAGGGATTTCACCTGCAGTGAGATGGGCTCGATACTTGGATCAGGGGTAGGTTGATTCCCAAGGTCAAACAGGGATAATTCCATGTTCAAACTCAGCCTCCTTCCTTCAAGCCATGTTCTCATTAGTATGTGAGAAACTGGCTCTGCCTCCCCAACTTGAGGCTCCGGGGGGCCTCAGTGGGGACGTGGTCCGGGGTGGGGGCTGCTCTATCCCAGGGTTTCTCAGCCTTGGCATCAGTCACATTTCAGGTTGCATAATTATTGTGGAAGAGTGTCTTATGGCCTGTGGCATGTTGAGCCACGTCCCTGACTTCTGTCCCCTAGATGCTAATAGCACCCCAACAGTTGTGACCATCAAAAATGTCTCCGTTGCCACATGTCCCTTGGGGTCAGAATTGTCCTCCAGTTGAGAATTGCTCTGATTCAGCAGTCAGATCTTCTGACGGTTTTCTCTTTTCATCCTCAGCTTTCCGCTTGGCCCTTATCCAGCTTCAGGTTTCTTCCGTCAAATCAGATAACGTCACTCGAGCCTGCGGCCTCGTCCGGGAAGCAGCAACACAAGGAGCCAAGATCGTTTCTCTGCCAGTAAGTATGGAGGCGGAGGTGGCCCCCTTTTTCTGGACGCTCTGGACTGAGTAGAATCCTGCCTGCTAGCGCTGGTGGTGCTCTTGGGTCCGGTGGTCCTTCCGTGTTTGTCTGGAAGATGACCCTAGCAATGGTCTTCAAGATACGATGTGCCAGCATGGTTATAGGTCTTTAACTTTAGGATCATCTGCTCTCTCCAGAATCCTGGGAGGTTGTAAGACTTACTTAAAGGTCAGTGCCTTGGATACTTACCTTCTTTCCTTGTGAAATGAAGTCCTTACAGGACCATGATAGAGTGACCGAGTTTAGTGCTAAGCCTCCCACATTTGTAGAAAACTGGAAATTGTTAGAGACACGGAGGAAGCCTGCAGCACCTCCCTAAATGCGGGAGCTTGGAGCAAGCCCATAAGACCCTGCGTGTGTTTCCTAGGTGACGGCTTTCAGAACAGAGCCAGGGAAATGTTGCAGCCCATTTGTTTGTCAGCAGGTGGAGGGTGAGCCCCAGAGAAGGGGCCCACACAGGTTGGGGCCTGTGGGTACTGCATCTTGTGGCTGAGGACCGCTAGGATCCGAGGCAGAACTACTCCAGGCAGCCCCCTCTGCTTTCCTGCTCCCACTCTGGGAAGGAAGTAGCCCTTTATAAACCCTGCTTCGGTCAACTAGAGAATTTTCAGGACCATTCGTACTTTAGGCTCCAGTCCATAAGAGATGTGGCCAGTGGGTAAGAATCTTTAACAAGGGAACACGAGATCTTAATGTGAATCCAGCCTGCCTTACAGCCACATTTCTGGGACCCCCTGTACCGGTATCCCGACCATGGTCTCCTGTTGGTTTCAGTTGCTGGGGGCTGGAGTGAAAGCGCTTGGATTCTGCCTGTGCTCTCTCTCACACGTGGCTTGTATAAGCCGGCTGTCCTCTGGTTTGAGTTTCCTAGCACTGTGTGCAGTGCACAGTGCCCGTGGATGCAAATGAATGAATGAGAGTCAAAGTCTGGTTTCTGCTTTTCCATTATCCCGGAGCCGTGGAAGACAGACATATTCTGGGGAATGAGATTTCGCAGAATCAGCATGATAATGCTGGAAGGGAGTCAGAAACCGCTCATTCTACAGATGATAATTCTGAGCCTGTGGATTCATTCTGACACCCACAGTCCTGTGATTGAGCCGAGCTGTCACGGGGCCTGGGTGCCCAAGGGTGGGAGCTTGTAGTCCTGCAGATGGTGAGGAAGAGGCAGATCTGCTGGTTGACAAGGACCTGAGGGAGCACACTAGACTTGTGTCCGCTGGCCCCATCTGAACCAGCCCAGGTGTTCTGCTTATGGCCACAGGCTCTTTAGCTCGGGGAGACTGTTGTTTTTCTTATCAGTTGTATTTTACCCCTTTGAGAGCAGAGCTACAAGAGGCAGCTCTGCTTTCTTAAAGCAGAACTTTAAAGTGAGTTGGATATTTTTGTGTTTTTTTCCTCCTTTTTCTCCACCAACATTCTTCTAGGAATGCTTTAATTCTCCATATGGCACGAAATATTTTCCTGAATATGCGGAAAAAATTCCTGGTGAATCCACACAGAAGCTTTCTGAAGTAGCAAAGGAGTGCAGCATTTATCTCATTGGAGGTAACTTCCTACCCTCAAGGTATAATGGCCTAAACATTGAAAACATCTGAATAATTTCTGTTGTTACATTTAAACCATGAAATACAAGCCATGTAAATTAGCATTGAAAAGAATGAGGTGGGAGCACCTGGGTGGCTCTTTCTGCTTAGGTCATGATCTCGGGGTCCTGGGATCGAGCCCCACATTGGGCTCTCTGCTCAGTGGGAAGTCTGCTTCTCCCTCTTTCTCTGTGCGCGCGCTCTCTCTCTCTCCCTCAAATAAATAAATAAAAAATATTTAGGAAAAGAAAGAGAAAAGAATGTGGTAGATCTTACATAATAATGTGAAAAAATGTTCAGGACACACCGTTACATGGAAGAGGAAAGTTCAATATGATGTGAACAGGTACTCTCATTCAGATGAATCCCTCACACAAAAGGTTATGTGTTTCCGTGTGTCTTTACATATGTAGCACAGAGTAAGTGTTGTATAAGGACACACCAAACTGATGATGATGGTTTTCCCTGGAGAAGCAGTGGGGATACAGGGGCAAGTGGAAATGTGGAAAGAAAAACTATATTGGAGTGTCTTTCATTGTACTAATACAACATTAAGAAATTTGTTTTTTCACAAAGAGGCCATATACATATACATCAAGGTAGCTTTATATTAGTGGTTTTGAAATACATTTTAAAATGTTCTGTTTGCTTAAAGAAAGAATACAGTAAAACTGTGTAATAAATATAGCAAAATTATTCTGTTAAGAATTAGAAATGAATGAGAGGTGAAGAAAAGACAAAGCAAGAAAAGGGAAATGCAGGAACTACATTCCATGAAGGCAGGCCTGGCTTACAGTCCCATCTCGAGGCCTTTTGGATACACCAGGGCCTGGTGGATTCAGGTTGCACAACAGTGACTCCTCCATGTTGCTCTAGTGTTAGAGATGCAGTGTAGGGCCAAGGTCAAAGCAGAATTCAGAAACAGTTTGGTTATTTTTGAAACCTGCCTGTGGCGGCCTACTTTATTATACTTCGTCTGTAGTCTGGAGTTTATCTCTGAAAGATCATCCTCACAAAGACAAAAAAAACATTAATAACCCTTAGAAGATAGTATACTTTATTGTGGGACCCAAGTGACTGTTTATCAAGTGCTGGTCCAGTGATCGTAAAAGAATGCTTTATTTAGAATCTTTGCCCGTGTTTCTCCTCTCAATGAAAGGTTCTATTCCTGAAAAGGATGCTGGGAAATTATATAACACCTGCACCGTGTTTGGGCCTGATGGAACTTTACTGGTAAAATACAGAAAGGTAAGCAGGGAATGTGGCAAGTCGCATAACCGATTGAGAATTTGCTGTAAAGTTCCCTAGTCCCTCTCATTGTGTTGTACACACATGGGGCATTAGATGAATTGGTACAGTCAACTTGTCGAATCTTGGCTATTGACATTTTGATATAAATTTTAGACTGAGCCTGTTCATTTCAGCCAAGGAAAAATCTACAGGAATTTTGATTAGAATTTCATTGAATATAGAGAGATCTCATTGGGAAAGCTGACATCTTTGCTGTAGTAAATGCATGTACATTGAGGATTGTTAAATATTCCTGGTAAATTGATCCTTTTGGCATTATAAAATCCATTTTTTTTTCCCTCATAATACTCTTTGTCTTAAAGTTTATCTCTGATACTCCTTTGGCCACTCTAGGCTTCTTATACTTAGTGTTGTATAATACATCCTTTTCTAATTCCTTATTTTTAACCTGTATGTGTCTTTATATTTAACATGGTTCTCCTATAGATAGCCTGCATTTGGGTCTTGTTACTATCTTCATTCTGACAACCTCTGCTTTTTAGCTGGAGTCTTACTTCACTTATATTTAATGTAATCATTGATATGGTTGGATTTAGGTATTAGACATTTTTCTTTTTCTTTTTTTCCCTTTGTTCCTGTTTCTTGCATTCTTTTGGCTTAGTTGAGTGCACTGGGTGTGGTGCAAAAACAATGAATACTGTTACGCTGAAAAGAAATTAAAAAAAAAAAAGGCCATTTTATCTCTTGGCTTTTAGCTATATACCTCTTTGCTTTTTTTAAGTGTTGCCCTAAGGATTACAACATGCACCCTAGCTTTTGACAGTCTCCTTAGAATTACTATTATACTGCTTCATTGTGAAATTTTAAGAGCTTCCCAATTGTATAGGTCATTTCCTTCCCCACCCCATTTTCTCTGTTATAGTTGACATACCTGTTGCATCTACATAGATTGTAAAAACACAATTTTTAAGTAGTTTTGTGTATTTTAAAGAAATAAAAATATTTTGTTTATTGGAATGTTTACCTTTCTGATATTTTTCTTTCTTTTATTCTTTCTTTTTTTTTATTAACATATAATGTATTATTTGCCCCAGGGGTATAGGTCTGTGAATCATCAGGCTTACACATTTTATAGTACTCACCATAGCACATACCTTTTCCAATGTCCATAGCCCAGCCACCCTATCCCTACCTCCCCCTCCAGCAACCCTCAGTTTGTTTCCTGAGATTAAGAGTCTCTTATGGTTTGTCTCCCACCCCAGTACCATCTTGTTTCATTTTTTCCTTCCCTACCACCCACCATCCCCCACCCTTGGAGCATAGTTCTATCTGGTATCTTTGCCTTCAAACAGAAAGACCTTCTTTAGAATTTTTGTAGTGAGGTTGTACTAGATACGAATTCCCTTAGTTTTTTATTTTGTCTTCATTCTTGAGAGATATTTTCAGTGGAATAGAATTCTGGGTTGACACTGTTCTTTTGTCTCCTAGCAATTTGAGTGATGTTTTTCAGGTATCTTCTAGCCTCCTTTTAAAATTTTTCTGATATGTGGTGATTTGTATTATTCTCCTGTATGTAATTCTTGTTTTTTTTCTGTCTGCCTTCAAAATTTTTTTCATAATCCTTAGTTCTCAGTGATTGGACTCTGATGTGCCTGCCTAGATATGATTTTCTTTATATGTGTCCTGTTTTGTGCTTCTTTATAACTCTTTCATAATATTAGGGGTATTATTTTGATAAATATTTTTTTGTTCCATTCTCATACTGGACTTCAGTTTTGATACTGTTCCACTAAACCAGGTTGCCAAGACTTGTTTCTTTTTGTTTTTGTTTTTCCTACCTTTTTTCTCTCTCTCTTTCAGTATTCTAAAGTGTGGACATGTTCCATTGATCTGTTTTCAAGTTCACAGAATCTTCCTTCTGTAAGCCCCAGTCTCCTATATGCCAACCCAGTGAAATCTTTTAAAATTTCACATAAACACATAAAAGTTCACATAAAGTCACATAAACTTATTTTTCTACTAATATTTCCTATATGTCCATTCATCAAGAGTGTATTTTTCTTTAGACCCTTAAGCTTAGTTTCAGTAGTTGCTTTTGGTAATTATCACATCTGGGTCTTGCTGGGGTCTGCTTCATTGATTGCCTTTTCCCTAAAGTTCAGTAACATTTCTAGTTTGTCTAGTGATTTTGAGTTGCATATTGGATTATATCTTGTTGAGATTCTAGCTTCTATTATCTGAAAAATGTTGTATTTTTTTGTTTTAGTAAGTAGTTAACTTGCTTGTACTCAAACACCCTACTTCTTTTCCTCTGGGAGGTGGGCAGCAACTGCGGCCACTCTGTTCTAAGTTGTTTAGCTTAAGCTGGGCTGCTTGGAGTCAGCCCTGTACATCTTTAATTCAGTACTTAGCCAGAGACTTGGACAGATTTTTATATGTAGAATTTAGGGCTCTTCCTCTTTGGCTTTCTCCTTTTCAGGATTTCTCCCTCACTTCCGAGCTGCTGTGAAACTCTGTCCTCTGGTTCCTTGGGCCAGTATGGTTATAGGTGATTTTTACCACCACTCCTAGCAACAGCAGGGACGTTGCTTCCAGCTAAAGGGTCTAAACAGGAAACTCACCCAGTGTCCTTGTCTTGTTCCTGATCTCAGTGTGGAAAGGCTTTTAATATTTCATTGTTAAGTATGGTGTTCCTTCCTTTTTTTTTTTTTTTTTTTTTTTCAGATACTCTATCAGATTAAGGGAGTTCCCTTCCTAGCAGTTTTTTTCTTTTGTTTTTAGAATAAGAATGAATGTAGAAGTTTACCAAATGCTCACTGTGTACCTCTTAAGATGATCCTGTGACTTTTCTCCTTCATTTTGTTAGCGTGGTAAATTACGTTGGTTGATTTCCTAATGTTAAACATTTGCTTTCCTTTAATAAACCCAATTTCGAAGTGATGTGTTACTCTTTTTATATATTGCTGTATTTAGTTTGGAGAATTTTACCTATTTTAATTACTGTTCTGCTCTCCACCTCTCCTGCCAGTTTGTCAGGTTGATTATGATTCTGTGAAGACTTCATTGAGCATTTACACTGAGTAAAAGAATAACATGCTAATTGCTTCCCAAAAGAAACCTAGACCTCAGCTTGCGCACCACCTAGGAAAGAAGTGTCAAAACTACAGTGTGATTTTCCCATTTTGCGTATTAGAACTTATTTTGATAATATGTCAGCTTGTGGGGTGGGTTGCGGGCAGGTGGGGGTTGCTATTTGCGTGGTTGATCTCAGCTTCCCTGCTTTTGGCCATGAAAAGATGTTTGTTATGATTGCCGTGAGCCCTGCTGGAGAAGAGGTAACCAAATTCGTTACTTGTGGTGCAGCTCCATCTGTTTGACATTGATGTGCCTGGGAAAATTACATTTCAAGAGTCTGAAACACTGAGTCCCGGTGATAGTTTCTCCACATTTGATACTCGTAAGTACCAGACCTGTTCACCTGTTTTAGTAGTATCAGTAGAAGACGAACATGTGCAATGAATGCTGGAACACTGAAAAGAAATAAAATAAAATAAAATGGAAAAAGAAAGACGATCATGTGTTCCTTTTTTCTCCCTCTTGTGGTCCGCCCCCCACCCCACTTCTTTACACAGCCTGACTGCAAGACCAGAGGGAGATGGGCAGAGACCAGTCAGAGATCTAGAAAGGGCAGGCTGACCAGAAAACTAAGGGTTTGACTGGATTTTGTCTATGGTTTGGTCACAGCATGCTATTAGCATGATCGCTTCCAGAGTTTACCTCTTAGGCTGTGATTGAACACTTCCCACATAGATACTAAGCGTTCAGTCAGAATGAATTTCTTGTTTCTAATCTGAGATAAATGATGTCTTTATGAGGTGAGATCCCAACAGGACTAAGCTTATGCAGTCTCTCCATCCATGGCCCTGGGTTCGTGGATTGCCGTCAGTGTTTGGTGATCTTAGAGGCTTTACTCTGCCACACCATGTTGCAAGAAGTTGACTTCTCATTTGTGCATTTTCTGTCTGAAAAACAGCTTACTGCAGAGTGGGCCTGGGCATCTGCTACGACATGCGCTTTGCAGAGCTCGCACAAGTCTACGCACAGAGAGGTGAGATGGCCGCATGGCTGTGTGGTAGAGGTGCTTAGCGATGGGATTCTGCCTTGGGTCTCTGTGGTTCGAGGGAGCCTTAGGCAGAAACACTAGAGAAGAGGTCTTCATCTCTCCACCCCATCCGGCTGCTGAGACTTTTGCTGCATGTGGGCAGTACGGTTTTTCGGAGATTGTATTTCAGCACACCGTGCAGCTAAGGCAGGAACCGTGCTCCTAAATTGCTCCGTTCTTTGAGCCCTTCTTGCTACCGTGTTTGGAAAGAGTCACTTGGAGACCACTAGAAATAAGGATGTGGTCTATGGTGTCTGTCCTGGATTTCACACTCAGTAATCCTAGCTGTTGGGTACAGTAGAAATGTAGTCTGTGACCTTCCGGTCCAAAGAAGTGTCCTGCTGGCCTGCAAGAACACTGACCAAGTCAGAAGATCTTGGTTCTGGTTCCAACTCTCCTTAATTGACATGATACTTTGGGTAAATTATTTAATTTTTAGGGGAGTATGGATCTCAGTTTTTTCATAGCCATGGTGTGGAGATTAAGGAGGTAGAACTTAGCTCCTCGTATGTACTCAACAAATGTGAGCATCCGTACTAGACTGTCCAGGCTACTCTGATTGGACTTGACTTTCACCTAACAAGCAGAGTGGGTGCAAATATTTTGATGGCCTGCTCAGCAAAAAAGGTGGAAGGCCATGGGCTCTGTGTTGGCAGACACTCTCAAGCTCTCTCAGTAAGCATTAGAACACCTACTCTGCCCTCTGTTTCATTTGAAAAGCATTACAAAATGTGGTCCTTGTGGGCACCTGGGTAGCTCAATCGTTAAAGCGTCTGCTTTCAGCTCAGGTCATGATCCCAGCGTCCTGGGATCCAGCCCCGCATCGGGCTCTCTGCTTGGCGGGGAGCCTGCTTCTCCTTCTCCCACTCCCCCTCTTGTGTTCCCTCTTTCGCTCTGTCTCTCTCTGTCAACTAAATTAAAATCTTTTTTAAAAAACGTGGTTCTTGGCTGTGTGGAGCTGACCATTTGGTGCTGTGAGAAATTTGAATGATATATATTTTTTAAAGTGAAGTCACATACCGTGGTTTGGGTCATCAGTACCACTGTTTTTGTATGTATGTGTAAACATGTGTGTGTCTCTAAAGGAATTCAGAGCCATAGGTTAATACTCCTGACAGCATCTGGTTTGGCTGACCTCTTTTTAGGCTTGGGAAAGTTTGAGTTTGGTCCCCCCTGGCTAAGGAACAAAATGGGGAGCTAGTGTGGTGGGGTGTTGACCTGGACCCACTCTTCTCTGGCCTTTCTCTCCCAAGGCTGCCAGCTGTTGGTATATCCCGGAGCTTTTAATATGACCACTGGACCAGCCCACTGGGAGTTGCTTCAACGAGGCCGGTAAGAAAGCATCTTGGGCAGACCTTTAGGTGTCTTGGTGTTGCTTTGTGCAAAGATCTCCAGTTTGGTGGAAGTACCAGCCTTTCTGACGCAGAATGCTGCCCCTGACCCAGCATGCTTGGACATCTAAATGCAGTCGGAAGAGCTGAGTGACCCCACTGACGGTGCTGTTCAGATAGGGGTGCTTATCTTGCCCCATCATTTGTACCATTCTGCCCATCCTGGAATACTCTGCCACAACACTTGTCACAGGCTCTTGTTTTTTCTAATCTGCAAGTCCGAGCCACTTGATAGTGTCTTTGGCATGTCAGAGTAGCTGTATCCTGAGACCTGTAAGGTTGGGGAGTGAGCAGTAACGGGCAGATAGCAGAGGTGAGTGTAACATGGAAGGGAAGAGGAGCGTGACTGTGTGTGTCTGAAAGTGTGCTGAAAACCATGAAATACTGGTCAGAATTGCTGGTTTTCTTCATTACAATTTTCTGATTGAGGTATAATGTACTTAGAGAAAGATAACAGCAATTTTAAGTCTGTAGGTCAGTGAATTTTTACACATGTATTCACCTGAGACCAAGGTCAACACAGAACATTTCCAGATCTCTAGAATGCTGCCTTTTGTTCCTTCCATCAACCCTTTCCTTGTTTGCTCAGATGGAGCCGCTGTTCTCACTGTCGATAAATGATGGTGATCTCTATATAAATGATGTATTTATCAGAGGAGGCAGCAGAGGTGTTTGGCTGGGTGATTGATGGAAGATGGGGTGGGGTATCTGGTACCCTGTATATTAGTTAATGCGGTCTTGTAGAAAGCAACCAAAGCTTGAGAGGCATTGGAACGGCCCGGCCTGGATCTGCTGTTTGAGCCCGGAGTGCTCCCAGGTGAGGTGGCCTGATGTACCCAGGCCACCACCTGAAACTATTATCTAATTTGAGCTAGTGGGACTTCAGCCATTGAGGCCTGGAAGTGCCATGCGGCCAGGCAAGGCATACGGCCCCAGCAAGGCCAGTCCATTATCTCTGGCTACTTTGACTCGCTCTTTTTCAGACGAATGGTTTGGCTCAGGCCAGGGTCTCCACTGTGGTGTTTTTGACATTTTGGACTAGATTATTCTTTGCTGTGGGGGTGTCCCATGCATGGTAGGATGTTTAGCGGCATCCCTGGTCTCCACCTACCAGGTCCAGTAGCAACCCCCATCGTGAAAGTACGAAGGTCAAAGTCAGTGTCTTCGGACATTGGCAGATGTCCCCACTGGGCAGAATCACCCCCAGCTGAGAACTGGTTTATGCATTAAGATACATACTTTTTGAAGAGGAAGAGAGGGTTTCATGGCTTTGGTTGTTTCCTTCCATGTCTGAGCCAGCCTGTCCTGTCCTAGTTTTTAAAAGAAGGATCTGTACTTTTGGGATAGAAAGATGTTGCCGGTCTCTAAGGTTTGAATTACCTCTTTTTTATCTGTCGACCACAGGGCTGTTGATAATCAGTTGTACGTGGCCACAGCATCTCCTGCCCGGGATGATCAGGCCTCGTATGTTGCCTGGGGACACAGCACTATTGTGAGTCCTTGGTGAGTTGGCTAAGCAGGGACACGCTCACCAGGAGCTTAAGGGAGGTGGCACTTGGGTTGGGGGGGTTTTCTGATTCCCGACCAACCCTGCCCCCCCCGCCCCCATATCCTCACGCCTGCCAGGTCTGCGCCTCGTCTTTGAGAGACACTGCCACCTAAAAACCATGTGAGAAAGAAATGGTCCTGCTGTCCTGATTGAGTGCTTGGCCTTGGCCCTCCTCTGAGTTTCCGAGTGGCTTTTGCTGTCAGTCAGACTTGGCTCACATGGGGGCAACAGGGCAGCACAGATGGGTGGGTGATTTTAATAAAAAGGGCTCCAATTTTAGCCTTTGGTTAAAATTTAGGCTGGGTGACTGGTTCTAGAGCAGGAATTAGTTACAGGGTGAGGATCTTGCTCCTTGCCTGATGAATAGAGGATGGAGGAGGATGAGTTCAATTAAGGAAAACTCTGACTTTGACCTCTGTGAGAGGGAAAAGCATCGTCCTAGGGAAACCAGCATGAAAGTCTGCCCAGCTACGCAGGCATGTCATTTGTCACTGTCCGGACCTCAAGGTCTATAGTTGTGTGGTCCTCATAGTCCTTTCACACTCGTGGTTTCTGTGTGAACTCACAGAGGCTTTTCCTAAATTAAGCTCCATTTATAGTCACAGAATTGAAGTTCACGGGACACAGTGGCTAGGACTGGTGTTCAGACTCAGGACTCCTGACTTCAGAACTTGGACTTATGCCATGCCACTTCTCACATATTTGTATGATTACACACACACACACACACACACACACTGATGTGTATTTCTCGAATTTCAGGGTAAATATACCAACAAGGCTGAGAAGGATTATCTATTACTGTGGGATCCCTGAAGTTCCCTCTTCTGATTTTACAGGACCCAAAGATTGAGTGTGTGATGGGGAAGGCCTTGGAAGTATGACCAGGGAGCCTCAGGCACATTAGGATTGGGGAGGATCTGGCAGGCTGGAATGATTAACTTGGCTTGAAGATTTCCTCCAACTTGGTTCGAGTTCCTCTGTCCAGATATTAGCCATAGGCTTCCTGGCCTCTTGGGCAGCTCTGCTCCCCTGCTCGTTCTCCCGAGGAACTTTGTGACTGATCAAGCTGGCTGCTTCTGACGTGAAGTAGTTGTACAAGATTTATCTTTGTTCCTTTTCAGAAATCTGTCTGTAGGATTTGGGGGCCCTCTGGCTTATATTGTCATCAGGATGGGTGCCTGATGATCTCTCTTCAAAGAGAGATCTTTGAATGCCAGAGCAAATGAGGGGAGAAATAGAAAAGAATAAAGAAGAATTCAGTTAAATGGCATTAATGATGATATTTGTAGCTCATTTGTGCCAGAAATGGATTTGTGGCCATCTGGGAGATGGAACCAGTCACTGTGTCAGATTGTTTGTTAGGTCAGATTACTTTATTTTGTGCATTGGAGAAATTTCACTAGATATCTTTGAAGTCCTGCTTTGGGCCAAGAGACTCAGGACTGGAAGGTTTTCCAGATCAGGCTTTCCCCAGATTTAGGGAGGAGTGTTGCTATTTCTAAGCATGGGGTTCCTCTCCTGTTGGGGTATGGTTTCCCCACCACTTCTTTCCTTCAGAAACTGAAACCCAGTGACGGGCTAACGAGGGACCACAAGCATGAGACCAGAGACCCAGGCCTTGCTGGGCTCTGCTCAGACCCAGCCTCGCTATCCCTGGCCTTGGTAGGTGTGGAGAGCCGGACCACCCTCCCAAAAGGCTTGCTGCCGCACTCAGGAAGGATGAGACAGAGCTTCCCATTGTTTATTGGGAGCTCTGCTTCTGGAGGTGTATAACCGTGGAATAGCTCCCATTTCGTAGCCACTGGCTGTTTACAAAACCAATTGCATAATCCTCTAAGTCCTCACAAAGCTCTTACTTCCGCTTCATAGGTTAGGGAATGGAGATAGCAGATGACTCTCCACAAGGCCACGCAGCTACCTGAAAGGTAGAGCAGGAATTTATGCCCTTCCTGTCTTGTCTTTAACCTCCCAATTCCTACCCCTGGGGCCCACAAGCATCAGCCTCCCACTCACTCCCTCCTCAATCTCTTTCAGGGGGGACGTCCTTGCCAAAGCCGGCACCGAAGAGACCATCGTGTGTTCAGACATAGGTGAGATTTGCGGGGCACAGCTAGGTCCGTGGGAGGTGATTCCGTAGCTCTGAAGCTGCTGTACCCTGGAGGTGCTCCCTTGGCCCCCCTCTCATTTATCCTTGGTTCTCCGGCCAGACCCCGGGGGGCTGTAGCTCAGCTTGGGATTTCTTGGTTTGGTTTGAAATGACTCCAGGGGCCATGCCAGGCCACCTGGGCCTCTGGACAAGGCTGATATTACTGAGTTATCTGCTGAGACTCTGGTAGTTTTTATACTGTTTGGGGAAGAAATTCTCATTGGTTGTGAGGAGTTACATCTTAGTAATGGTACATTTTCCTGTTTTTGCAGACCTGAAGAAGTTGGCTGAAATACGCCAGCAAATCCCCATTTTCAGCCAGAAACGATCAGACCTCTATGCAGTGGAGGCAAAAAAGCCCTAAGGTTTATGTTTTTAACATGTCACGGAACAGGAGGATATGTTTCTGCAATGTAATCCTCTCCCTGATGAATTCTTCAGAGTTTTTTTTGTTTGTTTGTTTGTTTTTTAAATTCAGCTTTTTCCCTTCCTGGAAACTCTCTAATGAGATGGTGGAGCATCAGCACAGGGTACTTTTCACACCATATTAAATAGTTAAAAAGGACTCGGGCTCTGGCATTGAGAGGAGGAGGAAGAGAGGATTACTGGACACCTTCTAGACTAGGTTGCCTCCTAGTAGTTGGTAACAGTACCAGACCTTGGTATCCAGGTTGTCTCATGTGGTACAAATATGTTTGTGTCACACACGCCTCTTACCTCATTGCTGGGGTTGGGAGTCTGTTATGGAGAAACCTTGGTCTAGTGCTAGTGCTCTTCCGAGGAGGATGTTCAAGTTATGTTTTTAGCCTGTGCGCAGCCCTGGGGAGCAAGGCAGTGGACCCTTGGTGTTTGCTGGAGGAGATGGCAGTCCCAGTCCTTCCTAGCTGCCTGGGGGTTCTTTCTTCAAATTCAAGAAGGAGCTAATGAATCAAGCCCAGACCCTCCTGGTCTTAGGGGAAGGGTTGTGTCAACTGTGAGTCTTACGGGAGAATGGCAGTGGTGGCATTTGGTCAAGGCAGCTAAAGATGAGCCTCTGCAAAAGACTTTCTTGACGAGGTGAGTGCCTGAAAATCTCTTTGTTTTTCTCCCTAGTAACACTTTCTAGCTTGAGAAAGGCAAATGTTTAGCTGGAGGTTTTTCAGCATCCTTTTCCACAATTAAAAGTTAAGAATTCCAGTGCACTTTATTTTTATGTTATATGTTGGGCTGGTAAACGTTTAACAACCAGCTGTCCCCCCAAAAGCCCTGATTTTGCAGTAGCATTTGCCAGTTTCCATGGTGTTAATACTTTTGCCCTGTGGCCAAGGTTCAGACTAACAGTACAACACCTCTAAACAGAGCTGGAAATAAAAGCACAGTTGGCACTTGTGAGCTGGGACAGTCCTGCTCTCGCACACCACTGTTTTCATATATATTTGCCATCCTAGAAAATAAAATAAAATTTTAAAACAAAAGAATGCATGAGCACACATTTTATTAGCTGTGAGAGTGACGACACTATCCTGTCATTTAACCTTTGGAAACCAGCATTGTATACTCAGAGTAAGACAGGAGTGAAAGAGGGAAATGACATTTTAAAATTATGTGTATTATTCGGTAAAAGTTGACACATGTATACATCCATGAAACCACTCTAATCAAGTTAATGAGCAACCCTCGCCCCCCCCGCCCGGCCTCCCCCAACCCCCAGCAGTTTTCTTGTGCTCTTGTATGGTCCCGTCTAGCTACTCCCCTGATTAGATGCATCACTGTAGGTGAGTTTGAATTTTCTGTAATTACTAAGTGGAATCACACACCATGTATATACTTTTGTGTCATCTTTCACTCATCGTGTTTGGAGACTCATCCCTGTGTGTATCACTCATTTCTTTTGTTTTGCTCAGTGGCAGTTTGCTATACGGATACACTGTAATGGGATAGTTTTTGGGTCTCAGAAATAAAGCTGCTAAAAATGTTTTGTACGAGTTGTTCATTTTTCTTGAGTAGGTATCTAGGAGTGGAACGGCAGGGTCCGATGTGTATTTCATGGCCAAACTGTATTCCCAAGTGACTGTGCCATTGAGCTTCGTCCCCTCGGTCTGTCACTGTCCCAGCTGCTCCACATCCTCAGCAATATTTGGTAATGAGGACTGTTTAAGTTTTGCCATTTTAATGTGTGTGTGATGTTATTTCGTTGCGGTTTTTTCATTTTGTAATCCCCTAATAACTACTGATGCTGAGCATCTTTTCATGTGGTTTGCTGTCTGTGTATCCCTTTTGGTGGGGTGTCTCCTCATAGCTTGCTCCCATATTGGTGTTGGGTTATTTATCCTCTTACTGATTAGTAAGAGTTTTTTCTATGCTCAGGATAAAAATCAGATACTATGTTTTGCAAATAGGTTCTCCAAATCTGAGGGAAAAAAGTCTTTTCATTTATTATTATTATTTTTTTTAAAGATTTTATTTATTTATTTGGCAAACAGAGATCACAGAGAAGCAGGCAGAGAGAGAGGAGGAAGCAGGCTCCCTGCTGAGCAGAGAGCCCGATGCGGGGCTCGATCCCAGGACCCTGGGATCATGACCTGAGCTGAAGGCAGAGGCTTTAACCCACTGAGCCAGCCAGGTGCCCTGTCTTTTCATTTTTTAAAAAGTATAGTTCAAAGCAGTAGTTTTTAAATTACCCCGGAGGCCAGTTAATTGCTTTTTCTTCTTTTAAAGTTTGTCTTTTTTATGTTGCATTTAAGAAATTGCCAAACCTGATGTCACTGACTTTATCCTGTGTTTTCTTTTGGAAGTTTTATCGTTTTAGCTCTTTTATTGAGGTCTTGGATCCATTCAGAATGGTTGGTTTTCTATATATGGTATAAGGTAAGAGTCAGGATGCTTTTCGAGGCACCTGGGTGGCACAGGTGGTTGAGTGTCTCTAGGGTTCAGCTCAGGTCATGCTCTGAGGGTTGGGATTGAGCCCCATGTCAGGCTTTGCATTCAGCCTGGAGTCTACTTGAGATTCTCTCCCTCTGCCTCTCTCACTGGTGCTGTCTCTCGCTCTCTCTCTCTCTTTTTTTTTTTTTTTTTTTTTTTGCAATCACACGAGGGTTTATTCGACAAGCTTAAGCTTGGGCCCAAGTATACCTGACACAGCGGAGTAGGGACTTGGGCCCTGAGCTTAGTTAAGGCAGGGGTATTTATGGGTTCCTGTTACTAAAGCAAGGTGGGGGTCTCTGGAACCAAAGCAGGGTGGGAGTTCTTGTTACTAAAGCAGAGTGGGGGCCCTTAGAACTAAAGTAAAGTAGGGGAACATTCAGCCCTTGGGCACAGGGGTTGGAGATGGCTGCCGAAGCTAAGATGGCTATACTTATGCTAAGGCTAAACCTGAGGTGGGATGGCCTTAGTTTTTCTCAGCCTCCACATTTCCCCCTCTCAGAGGAACCTAAGGAAGGACCCAATCATGGGTCCAAACTGGTCTCAGCAACAAGGTCCAGTGGTTGGTATTCCTGAGTACCATGAGCTGAACTGTACTGACTGTGTCTTTGACAAAAGTAAGCAATATTAGTGGGGTAAGTGAGAATGGTGCAGTCTTAGCTTTAGGGGTTGTCCTTGTCGGGCTGACTTTTCCATTCTGGGATAAAGTCCTTGAGAGCAGCGTGTGGGTCAGCTGGTTGGATGTTGGTGTAGTGGACCCAGGGAGTAATCCCGTCGACCTTGAGAGCAGTGGGAGTGGTCAGGATCACAATGTAGGGTCCCTTCCAGTGTGGTTGAAGTGTCTGGTGTTGGTATCTCCGGATGTATACCCAGTCACCTGGCCGATATCGATGGGGGGGTCTGGGGGTGGCCCAGTCTCGTAGAGGGCCCTCAGTCTTAGGTCAATACCTGGTGAGGCTGCTGGGAACTCTGTAAGCAAGGTTTCCTAAAGCTCCAGGTTTCATAAAGTCAACCTTAGTTCCTTTAAGCTGTCTGGTCATATCTGAGTCTTTGCAAATATGACATCCCAGTCAAAGCCTTGGTGAAATAACCAATGTTTCCAATAGTGTCCAGCCAGCGCAAGACCCTCCGGGTTGGGGTCCTGGGAGTCTCCCAAATCTTGGTGGAACCTCCAAATGTAATGGCCAAGTTTTCGTGTCTGAGAGACCACCAAGGAGCCAACACCGATGCAATCACACGAGGATTTATTCAACAAGCTTAAGCTTGGGCCCGAGTATACCCGACACAATGGAGTAGGGACTTGGACCGTCTCTCTCTCTTTCTAAAATAAATAAATAAAACCTTAAAAAAAAAAAGATTCTTTTATTTTTTCCAGTACCATTTGTTGAAAAGCTTACCCTATTCCCATTGAATTGCCTTGGCACTTTTTAAAAAATTATTAGGGAGAGAGAGCGAGAGAGAGCGAGAGAGAGCATGAGAGGGAGAAACAGACTCCCCACAGAGCTGGGAGCCCAGTGTGGGACTCGATCATGACCTGAGATGCTGAAGGCATATGCTTAACCAACTGAGCCACCCAGGCGCCCTGCCTTGGCACTTTTATGAAAAATGAATTGGCTATATATATCTTGATCTACCTCTGTGTTCTCCTGTTTCATCAATCTATTCATCTATTTTTACAAAGTAACTTAACTATGTTGGTTATTGTAGCTTTAAAATAAATATTAAAGTCTGATGGTATTAGTCCTCCAACTTCTAAGTCCTTTGTATTTCCATATACATTTCAGAATCTGTAAATTTCTACAGAAAAAAAAAAAGCCTGCTGGAATCTTGATTGGGATTGCATTGAAGCTATAGAGCTGTTTGGTGGAAAATTGACCTCTTAATATCAAACCTGTGAACATGAGCTATGTCCTCAGTTATTTAGGCCTTTAATTTCTCTTAGGAATGTTTGTTTGCTTCTATAAGGTAATATGTATCTTTTGTCAGGGCACCTGGGTGGCTCAGTCCTTAAGCATCTGCCTTTGGCTCAGGTCGTGATCCCAGGGTCCTGGGATGAGCCCCACATCGGGTTTCCTGCTCAGCGGGAAGCCTGCTTCTCCCTCTCCCACTCCCCCTGCTTGTGTTCCCTCTCTCGTTGTCTCTGTCAAATAAAATCTTAAAAAAAAAAAAAAAACCAAAAAACTTCTCTTTTGTCAGATTTATCCATAGGGACTACAGATTTTTTGTTGTAGTAGTCTTGTTTTGTAAACTTTAATTTCCAATTTTTCACTGCTGGTAAAAATAAATTTTATTCCTGTATTCTGTATCCTGTATTCCTGTATTCGAACCTCACTGAACTCACTCACTCAAGCAGTTTTTTTGGGGTAAATTCCATATGATTTTTTTTTACATAGATGATCATGTCTGCAAATAAAGGCCTTTTGTAAAACAAATGGGCTTTTTCCTTTCCAGTCTGGTTCCTGTTTTTTCATTCATTAATTCATCCATTTCTGGCCTGTGGCTTTGGCTAGAAGTTTCAGAACAGTGTTGAATAGAAGTAGTGAGTGGTTGTAAGTTGTGTTGGTCCTGATTTTAGAGAAAAAAATTTGGCCTTTCATAGATGCCCTCTATCAGGTTGGGAAAATTCCTTTTTATTCCTAGTCTGGTGAGAGTTTTTATCAGGATAGGATGCTGGATTTTTTTTTTTTTAAACGATTTTATTTATTTATTTGACAGACAGAGATTACAAGTAGGCAGAGAGGCAGGCAGAGAGAGAGAAGTAAGCAGGCCCCCTGCTGAGCAGAGAGCCAGATGCGGGGCTCGATCCCAGGACCCTGGGATCATGACCTGAGCTGAAGGCAGAGGCTTTAACCCACTGAGCCACCCAGGCACCCCAGGATGCTGGATTTTTTTAGATTCCTTTTCAGACTTTACTGAGACAAACATGTCTTTTTTCTTCTTTAGGCTGTTTATGTTGTGAGTTACACTGATTGATTTTGGAGTTGTAAAACCAGCCTTCCATCCTTGGGATAAACTTCACTTGACCATAATGAATTATTGTTGGGTTTGATTTGCTAACATTTGAAGAATTTTTGCATCTTTTTTCATAAGGGAGTTTGGTCTGTAGTTTTCTTGTAATACCTCTTTCTGGTTTAGATACCAGGGACTGCTGGCCACCTAAAATGGCTTGGAAAGTAAGGTGCCTAGGTAGTGCAGTTGGCTGGGCATCTGACTCTTGGTTTTGGCTCAGGCTATGATCTCAGGATCAGGAGATTGGGCTGCATATGTGGCTCTATGCAGGGAGTCTGCTTGGGACTCTCTCTTTCCTCTCTGTCCCTTTCCCCCATACTCTCTCTCAAATGAAAAAATAAGTCTTTAAAACATTTTTAAAAAATGACTTGGTAAGTTTTTTTTCCTCTTCAGTGGTCTGAGAGAACTGTGTGGTAATTTGCATCTTGTCTCTTAATTTGGATTATTCTGGTTGGAGCTTT